TGAAACATTGAGGAAGGAATAACACTTAAGAGATTAAACTTTAATCACGCAATTGAATAAGTTGTTAGGGATAATGACTTGAATAACCTCGAAAATCATGCTTCAATATTTGTTAGGTAAGGTAAAGTTGTCCCTGGAGACGTATGGGGGAGTGGATGTATAGATCCATATTTTTTTGACCTCGGCACTAGTTGGAGGTGAGTGGTCAGCTTCACGCCCCGGCCGCTTTACCTCCGTGAGAGACCCGCCGGTACTCACTGGATAAGAGGTTGGGTGGACCCCAGAGCCGGTCTGGACGATTGGAGAAGTGAAAATTCTTGACCCTACCGGGACTCGAACTCCGATCCCTCGGTCGTCCAACTCCTAGCCAGTCGCTATACCGACTACGCTATCCCGGCTCCTGGTACAATATTTGTACATTGCCTTAAAGCCGTGGCTTGTATAAACATTGGCAAGTGTACGAGGTAAAGTTCATATTTGTGGGCGTCGTCTGTTAGGTCCATTGTGATAGCGCGAGAAATTGTTTTGAGCCCGGCACAGCTTTCAGATATCCCCTGTGAAGATAAAAGACCCGAATTAATGATTCTGTAACTACATTGATGAAGAACTGGGATAGCGCTGTCGGTATAGCGGCTGGCTACAGGCTAGACGGCCGAGGAGTCGGAGTTCGAGTCCCGGTAGGGGCAAGATTCTTCTCCTCTCCCCGTCGTTCAGACAATTTCTTAGGCGCACCTCCTTTCCTATCCAATGGGTATAGGAGACTTTTTCTGCGCTGTTAAAGCGGCCGGAGCATGAATGTGACCACTCCAAACTAGTTCCGATGTTAAGAATACGTGTATTTGTACTTCCACTTTCATGACATAGTGTTTGCTACGTACTTCCTCCCAGCAGCATGAATTAGACGAACCGGTTGCAGTGTCCACGTGGAGGGAGCCGTTTGGTGCAGACCCTTCAAGTAGAGAGCTGTCCACATTTGCTGCCTCATGTAATTCTGGCAACACTAAAACATAGTAAATTGATTAATGTTGTAATAACCATTTAAGACCCTCTTGTGAGTATACAATAAAGCACTTACATAGCCAGTTAGAAGACCATCGTGTGCCATTATAATTGGTTTTGTGTCGCTGGGCTGCTACCCAGTGCTTCACATTGCCAACCTCGCAGATGGGAAGACATACCGTATCTGTCTCTTCTGTTCATTTGATAGAAAGGCTACATGGGAGTTTGCATGTGTCAGGTCTGGTCCTTCTATATGACATGAGAGAGGCATGTAGCAAGAAGCAAGCATCTTCATTCTCAATTTTATATTATTTTATGATCTATTTCGCTTTCAAAGTATTAGGTTTGGCCGCGCCATAGCTCAAGCGGTTAGTCGCTGGCTTCCCATCGCGGCGGCCAGGGTTCGATCCCGGGTCTGGTCAAGTGGGATTTGTGGTGGATAAAGTGGCACTGGTGCGGGTTTTCTCCGAGTACTTCGGTTTCCCCTGCCAATCTTCATTCCACCAAATTCTCCATCACCATAATCAACCGGAGCAGGTACAATAGGCCAAACAGTGGCCGCCGTGCCGAGTGGACCCAGTTGGACTCCACCCCCCACTATGCGAATTAAAAAAAGAGTATTACGTTTTCGTAATGAATACTGTGTTTTAGTAGCATTCAATAACTTACTACTGTGAGCACGGCGTTAAACCTTCGGGTTCCATAAAATAAAGACATTTCTTGGGTTCCGTATTGTGGATTTGTATAATTATTCAGTTAGTTGTCTGGTAACAGGGTCCGGAGGAGAAATATGGACCGAAGAGGGATGAAGTGACAGGAGGTCGGAGAAAACTGCATAATGAGGAGCTCCATAACTCGTACTCTTCTCCAAGTATAATTAGAATGATGAAGTCAAAGATAATGAGGTGGGCAGGGCATGTAGCTCGAATGGGGAGACGAGGAATGCATATAGGATATTGGTGGGAAAGCTAGAAGGAAAGAGACCACTGGGAAGACCAAGGCGTAGGTGGGTAAACAATATTAAAATGGATCTTAGAGAGATCTGATGGGACGGTATAGATTGCATTGCATTGATCTGGCTCAGGATAGAGACAAATGGAGTGCTCTTGCGAACACGGCAGTGAACCTCCAGTTCCATAAAATGCTGGGAAATTCTTGAGTAGCTGCAGATTTGGCTTCTCATCAAGAAGGGCTCAGCTCCACAAGGAAATAAGTAAGTAAGTAAGTTGTCTGGTTAGTGGGTTATATTGTGCAGCTTTCTAGCTGATGTGAAAACTATGGTATCCATACTAGAATCCTCCGACAGTTTTCCGATTGCTTGTAGGTTCGTTTAATGCTTACTTCGGCCGTAGCTAAGTGCTTACAAAGTGGTCCCGAGGGGGACACACTATGCAACTCAAACAACGCTCTTGAGTTTGCAATCAGCTAGAGTCACGTAGTTGAATATTATATAAAGGAAGTCAGGTTACACCAACAAGATTCGATTTCAAACCCTTCAGAAAATTATTCCATCAGCATGCAAAAGTTCGTGAGTACAGCCATGCTCAAGGCATAGTGTGACGTGTATTGGGAATATCGAATTTTTGTTTTGATTTTAATTAAACTTCGGACAGGGAGTGTTCCAGACCAGGATGCTGAGGGGAAGTAACAAGGGATCGATAGAATTACGAAATGAGGGGCTTCCTAATGTGTACTCTTAACCTATTTCTATTACAGGGGTGAAATGAAGGAGGCTTTAGACGGGTCGGAGGTATAGGAAATGCCTGAAGAGATGAGACCACTTGGAAAACCTAGGCCTAGAAAGGAAGAAATGAGTTATGACGAAAGGACGAGACTGAACTTCCTCAGGGGTATTCATTATGATATTTGAGGGGCTGTCTTCTGGAATGTGATGCCCCATTTTCCGATGGAGACTAACATTTCGAAGGAACCTGTTACCTCCACCTTGCTTCCGTGCTCTTCTGTCTGCTGTGTCGGCTTTCTGTTTCCATTTCTTTTTCCCTTGGCACTACAGCCCCAGTGGGCCTAGGCCTACCTCCATGAACTTCTCCGTTCACTTCGGTTTTTCTAGATCTTACACATTCGGTAGGACTCCTTGGCCGGGTGATCAGCTCGTCGAAAGGCCTCTACCTATACACAAACACAGAAAAACGCACACACCCAAACTAAACATCCATGCCCTTAGTGGGATTCGAACCCATGATCCCGGCTTCCGAGCGAGTGAAGACAGTGCACGCCTCGGCTACCGTGACCGGCTTCTGTTTCCATACCGTTGCTTAATTTTTGGGCGCTATTTACAAAAACCTAAAGAGGACTCCTTATATGAAGGCTATTTATATCTGACCGTATGTCTGTCTATGATAACGGTACACAGCGCCTCAGGTGTTATATAAATATTCACAAAATCTGACGTCTAGATTTCACTGGAAGTCTTTGCACAGCTCCTATATTTTCAACCATATTTTCCCATAAGAAGACATGGTTTACGTAAGGCCATAAATGGATTTCTCCGTGTATCTCATGAACCGTTTGGAAGTAATGAAGTTCTGCATGGGACACTTTCATTAGAAATTGTCGGGCATTTCTGATTTTCAGCGTTGCTGATCCACAATATCACCAAGTTCACATAGAGCCATAAATTGAATTTTCCATATACCTCACACATCCTCCCACAGAATTTCGAGATGGGAGACTCGTCAATTTTCATTTAATTATTCCTGTCTTTAAGTCAGCTTAACGGACATAACAGAACGCCGCTGATGATTTTATGTACTATATATATATATATGAAGGGGGCACACGGTAGTGTAGTTGGTTGAGGCACTATGTGACAAGCCGGAAGGTCGCGGACTCGAATCCCGATGAGGTGGATTTTTTCAATTGACCTAATTCTTCCAGCCGCACTATGGCCCTGGGATCGAATTAGCCTCTAACAGAAATGAGTACTAGGAATATTCCTGAGGCTAAAGGGTGGCCCGGCATGTACTGTCTTCGCTCGCTTGAAAACCGGGATCGTGGGTTCGAATCCCACTCAGGGAATGGATGTTTAGTTTGTGTGTGTGCGTTTTTCTGTGTTTGTTACAGGTAGAGGCCTTGCGACGAGCTGATCACCCGCCCAAGGAATCCTACCGAATGTGTGAGATCTAGAAAAACCGAAGTGAACGGAGAAGTTCATGGAGGTAGGCCTAGGCCCACTGGGGCTGTAGTGCCAAGGAAAGAAACGGAAGGTGGCCGGCGCGTAACGCTGATAACCTCACCACCATCTGTGAGCCCGCTGTCTACAAAATGCGGGAACCTCAACATCTCACAACTCTTTTTACCTTTTATATCCATTTCTGACCTATTTACTGACTCTCCCTCGTGCACTGTTTCCGGTCTCGGAGAAACACTTGGTGTTCTCTTTGCACGCTAACATATCTCTTCAAGGTTTGTTTGAATAGAGCGAGACCAGCAATCAATTTTGGGAGCGGGAGTGATTAGACTCGACTGAATGCACAGTGGGTATGGTGGACCCATTAACAATTCACTTTGTCTGAAAAGGCCTCTCCATAGCTCAAGCGGTTAGTCGCTGGTTCCCCACCGCGGCGGCCAGGGTTCGATCCCGGGTCTTGTTAAGTGGGATTTGTGTTGGACAAAGTGGCGCTGGGGCAGGTTTTCACCGAGTACTTCGGTTTCCCCTGCCAGTCTTAATTCCACCAATTGCTCCACAATCACCCTCACCTATCTTCTGGGGCTAGTACAATAGGCCAGAAGTGGCAGCAGTACAAGGGACTCCACTAGCAATAAAACAAAAATTCTGTCTTATCAAATTGAAGCATTAAAATCTCAAAGATCTTTAGGGAATTATTAAAATATGTATTTATTTATTTTTCAATTTAGCCGGGGTTGCGGATTGCCTGCAGCTTCTTCACGTATTCACTGCCGCCCTCTGTTACGAGCGGGAGCAAACAGCTGTTTTTCTTTCTCTCGTACAGTTAAAGTCGGAAAAGTGATCTATTTTCATGTTTGCATCCTTAACCAGGTAAACAAAGCTGGGTTTGTGAAGTAACCTCGAGTTGTTCCGTTACGGACAAGAGCACTGCGAACAGATCATTTAGAGCGATTTAGAGCAAGTGTAGGAACTTGTTACTGTGTGCTTGCGTGGACTGCACCTGCGTTGCCCGACATAACAGGTACAATATTCGAGTGTAGACAAGCTTTCATGCAGTTCACATGTTTCTTCATGAACTCTTTTAAGATATTACGATAGAAATAAGGTAGATGAATATATAAAGAGGTGTATTATGAAAATTATGAATAATCGAGGCAAAGCAATTCCTTAGTAAATGACAGAATTAATGCTAAATTGTCTGAAAGAAATTAAACATAATTATAAGATTTCAGGATAAAGTGAACATATAAAACGAATTATGGAAAAATTAGTAATTAATTTATAGTGCTGTGACCAGATATTAATGTTTCTGAATTCAGAATTGTGTGATGTGTAGAGGCTGTCTAAAAAGTTAGCAAGTTACAATTCGCATTGTGTAAATAACCACCACAATATAAATATATAAGATACATTTTAACGTATCTTTAATATTGACACACAAAACATGACGATTTCCACCTCAATTTTCACAGCTTACAGGATATTTCAGAAAACTGCATAATGAGGAGCTTCATAATTTGTACTCTTCTACAAGTATAATTAGAATGATCAAGTCAAGGAGGATGAGGTGGGCAGGGCATGTAGCACAAATGGGGAGACGAATGCATATAGGATATTGGTGGGAAAGCCAGAAGGAAAGAGACCAATGGGAAGACCAAAGCATAGGTGGGTGAACAGTACTAAAATGGATCTTAGAGAGATAGGATGGGATGATATGGATTGGATTGATGTGGCTCAGGATAGGGACCAGTGGAGGGCTCTTGTGAACACGGTAATGAACCTTCGGGTTGCATAAAATTCTGAGAAATTCTTGAATAGCTGCAGATTTGGCGGCTCCTCCAGAAGGGCTCAGCTCCATGAGTAAGTTAGTAAGTAAGTAAGTAAGTAAGTACAGGGAATTTCAGTCAGTTTATATTCATGTGGCGTTATTACGTGTAATTTTCGAGTTAAATTCGATTAACAACATTACCAGTGAATGACGTACGCAGCAGGTGGCAATGTTACCGTATGTAGCCTTAGGACAAAGAGCAGCCGATGAACTTAACTATTTTACGAGACATGCGCAGTGTAAATTGTTACTTCTTAGCAAAATGAGTCCTGCAGTTTTTCATCTGTCTACCTATCGCATAATATTTTAGTTTGAATGCCCCGTTTGAACTTGCTTACAGCCACATAATTACCTTAAAAATGCTGACGGCTTGTTCATCCGATACATTGGTAGTCACCCATCAAAAGACACGATGACATAACGAACAGGTCGTAATGTAAATGCACATTTATCTCAGAATTACTGGGTCTTTGGACTATGTCCATCGTCCGGTATTGTAAAAACTAGAGAACAGAATTACTATAGGATTCTGACGATGGTGTATAACACACTGATATGTTGGGTTTTTGAGGCTAGCTCTTTCTAACGGACCCAACTGAATAGGGGTTCTCCTTCACCTGAGGACGGAAACAGATCTAGTTTCCGAAACGTCGTGTTTTTATTTGTTATCTTAAAAACCAGGACGATGGATAAAGTCCAAAAACCCAACATATCAGTAGAGAACAGAATGTTTCGGAAAGGGAAACCGATTCCGTCCTCAGGTGAGGGACGGGAAGGCACCTACTGTGGTGGGTCCCTTAGAAAGATTTTACGTTTTCTGAAGGACCCAACAGAGTAGGTGTAGGTGTCTCCCCCTCACCGTAGGGCTGAAGCAGGTCATGTTTCCGAAACGTTATATGCTCTAGTTTCTGGAATACTGGACGATGGGGTCGCGGACCAAATCCAGCCCGCGAGGCTTTTCCCGCTGTCAGCGAGTGTACACGTGCATCCTCGGTCTGTTACATTTTTGCTTCGTGAAGTATTTAGCACGGTTTTCCTATACACGAACTTCGCGAATATCATAAAGACATTCGAAATCTACTTTTGCGCTTTAAGTACTGTATTGATTCAAACCGACTCAAATGGTAATATTTTTCACTTTTATTCGGGAGCTGCAGTAGCCGGGATAGCGCAGTCGGTATAGCGACTGACTACGGGATGAACGACCGAGAGGTCGGAGTTTGAGTCCCGGTAGTGTCAAGAATTTTATCTTCTCCGCGTCGTTCAGACTAGTTCTGGGGTCCACACAACTTCCTGTCCAGTGGGTACCGGGAACTCTTTCTCCGGGGGTAAAGCGGCCGGGGAGTGAAGCTGACCACTCACCTCCAACGAGTGCCGAGGTCAAAATATGGATGTATATATCCACTTCTCCATACGCATCCGTGACAGTGTTTAATTAGTTAAGCACAGGGACAATTTTGTTTTTATCTATCTTTATTCGGGAGGTTTCCGACTCGAATCTCGGTTGGAACACGGACTATCCCAACTGATCATATTTGTGAGACTTCCAAGAAAATTCCAGTCTGTTACCTGAAATTATGTTACAACAACTTGCTTCCACATTATGTCCACTCCATCAGTCTCTGGTCGTACTGAGATACTGACGTTGCCGCTAACTAACCAGGCCAGTCTGTGAACCTTCCCCTGTTGAGACGCTCAGCTTGCTAATCGAGGCAGCAAGCCCGAATCTTGCCTGGGTCACTGTTTACGCCGACACGTTTTGTTATGGTGTTCCCTAGCCTTCGAAAGAGTTCCGGGATAATACGTTCAAACAAATCATGACCACTTCCATCCAGAACCTTAGGTTGTCTCCATTCCTGATCACCTTCTAATCACAAAACTGGAGTTTTGAAGTAATGTAAGACTAAACCATGTACCGTAGGTGGTTGAGGCACTATGCTACAAGCTGGAAGGTTGAGGGTTCGATTCCCGATGCTGTCATTTAATTTCTTTTAATTTACCTAACCCTTCCAGACGCACAACGGCCCTAGGGTCCACTCAGCCTCTAACAGAAATGAGTACCAGGGATCTTGCCGGGGGCGGGAGGTATAGTTTCGTCCAGTTACACCCCCGGCACTCGGTTCCCTTTTCATGGCCTCCTACAACCCACAGGGCTGCGGTGCAAGTGTTCGACCCCGCCTCCACACTTCTGTGTTTTTGAGTTCTGGTTACAAAGGTGAGGCCAACATGACAGTACACACCGCCCCGAAGGGTGTCACTTTGCGTATATCTCTTTCAAGAAGTCGTTACTCTGCAACCTACAATTCATTGTTCTGGTTATCGGCTTTCAACAGTGAAACAGCGGACCGTAGTAACTAGAACCGTTGCGTAGCAATGGGCCCCTATTCTTGAACGCTTGGGTACCTGTATACCTTTTCGTTTGCTAGAAACGGCGAAATCTGTCACAGTATACTTCGACGCTACACAGTCAGAGCTGCTGAAAGCCAGAAGCAAGTTTATAATCTTATCTACCCTTTTGTTTTCAGAATGGCTGCCCAGACATTTAAGGGTGACTTAGAATTACGAATACGAGTGCTCGAAGTACAAATGGACAATTTTATGCGTCGATTCGAAGAAGCTAATCTGCTGATCCTTGATCTTAGAGGAAGGGTTGAAAAACTAGAGGCTTGGGGCAAAAAGACGCAGGAAGGTGGAAGATTATTTTTGCCATCACAAGAAGGAGCACCATGGCAAGACCAAGGCCCAACACAAGACGCTGGGATTTTGGAACATGGAGTTCCAGTTGCTGCGGATAGCCTGGAGCAATTATTAGAAATGCAGACATTTTTCGAGTCATTGCCATCACAAGAAGGAGCACCATGGCAAGACCAAGGCCCAACACAAGACGCTGGGATTTTGGAACATGGACCAGTGAACGAGAGGGAAGAATTCGAAGACGAAAATCGCGAACAGGAAGAACTGAGGAGGCTGGAGAAGCCAGATGAGTCAGGTGAATTGGTTCAAGATTTAGCTGCAAATTCAGAGAACCAGGAACATTTCGAACAAGGAACTGCAGAGCTGGTAGAGGATTCTGTCGAACTGGAAGCCGCGAAAGAAATAGGGACAGAGCTTTCTGAAAGAGTAAGGCTAGCAGAGGGGGCTGAAGTCAGCAAGAGAGGAGATGAAGAGAAAGGAAATGATTACGAATTAGAAGCGGAGGAATGCAAGCAGGAGAGACGGATTGCTGAAGAGGTAGGCAAACAGGAAGAGGCGGCACAGAGTGAGGCCGGTAATGAAGAACAGGCAGAACATGATTACATATTGGAACCTGGAAAATGGAAAGCGTGCACTGGAGAAGTTAAGTTGGAATCTTCAGAAGAAGTGGAGAAAGGTCTCTCTGGAGAAAGAGGGATACAGGAAGAGTTGGTAAAAAGTAAGGCAATGGAAGAAGACAATAAAGAAAAGAGTTACGAATTACAATTGGCAGGCATTCGGGAGTGCCCTCAAGAGGCTTCAAAACCGGCCGCGAGAGGGCTGTGTGAAGTAGCAGGGAAAGAAGGAGAGATGGTAGGAAGTGAAATAAAGGCCGGAGAAGAGAAAGAGCACGTTTCCATATTAGAAGTATCAGACGTGGAGAAGGGTTTCGCAGGAGTTGCTCGGCTTTCTTCTAAAGAGTCGGCAGGGCAACTTTCTGAACAAGCAAAGCAAAAAAATATGATAGAGGAAACGATGGCGTTGATCACAGCTGATATAGAAGAAGAAATTGATATGACATTGACAAACAGGTTAAGGAGAATTGTAGATGAACGCATCACGAAATTGGTCGAGTCTTCTGTAACGGAGAGTAATCAGAAAGTAAAGGCACTGGAGGGCGAAGGAACAGAGCACAGCCGTATAATATGTAACCTCCTAATTGAAACTCAACGGTTGCAAATAGATTTGATAAAAGCAATCAAGAGAAATAGTGAATTAAAAGTGGGTCTTAGTAAAGTATTCGGGGTACTAAATATGCAACTTGTAAAATACCACTATTTTGAGAAAGGTAGTGATGAACTGATTCAGAAATACCGGGAGGCAACTAGAAAAATGAATGAGGGCTTGAAGTACGCGGATTTGGAAAAGAAGTATAAACAATTTAAAGCCAAGTATTCATATGGAAAAGAGCGGACAGGTCATGCGGATATGGGGACTATCAAGAAGAAGGATTACAGCCAAATGACTTTCGAGGACATGGCAGAGGAACTGGCTTCGATTGCAAAACGTAAGAAGCACATTATGGATTCTGTTGTGAGGGCGTTAGGGACTTCCCCGGTGGAGGAATATCTCAAGGTGGAAAAGGTCGGGAGAACTGAAGAGCTGGAAGAATGCCGTAAAAATCTGGTGGAGCGTGTTCAGAACAATCCAGACACAGGGTTAAAGTTGATGGAAGCAATACTGGAGGAAGAGGACGAAAAACACGTAAGTAATGCTTGTCATTCTTGTCCTTGGCTTAAGTTTTTGCTTTTCCGCGTTCATCTGTGTCGGGTGTTGGAGACCTGTTTTAATGTTTCGGTTGAAATTTGTACTGTACAGCTTACAATATTTGCATAAATGCATTTTCATGAACTGCTATATGAGCAGGGATACCATACAAGTACTTTTGAAGACTCTGTTATTCAGAATTCTGATACGGCTGCTGTGCATAGTGCAAATTGGAAAAACGTGCGTGCGCTCTATACGAGAGAGAGAGAGAGTCAGTAAATAGGTCGCAAATGGAAGTAAAAAAAGCTGTAATGAACGTAATAGATTTTCTATGTGTAACAGTAGGTAGCATCACAGTTCAGCTTTATGACAGTCTAAATAGAGCTCGCGTATGCGCATGTTCAGAGGCTGGTTTCAGTAGTCAAAATTGCTACCGTCCTTGAGGAGTGTAAGACCGAAGAGCAACGTTCTATTTTGCGTTTTTTTTTTTTTGTAGGAAAAGGACTCTAGGCAAAGGACATTCTTAACGAAATGTTTTCTGTTTACGATGCGAAGTGTTTGTCGCGTAAAGCGGTTCACAAGCGGGTGGCAAAAGTTTCGCTGATAACGAAGAGGTTGAAATGGGTGTGCGGAAGTGGCTGAGACAACAGTCCGAAGACTTTTGTGCTGCTGGTTTCGACGCACTGGTAAAGCGATGAAACAAGCGTAACAATGTTGGTGGAGGATATGTCCAGAAATAAATGTTTCTTCCCAGATCATAATGACGCATGTTTTGCGTTTTATATCCATTTTTTGACTTATTTACTGACCCCCTCTTATATAGGGCTCTGAAATGGCGTGTGACAAGATACTTATTGATAAAAATATAAATTGCTTTGTTTCGGATGTAACGTAACTTTCAGACTTCGGAAAATCTTTAATTCATTTCTGATTTTATGGTGTTACCAATGGTTTTGCATGAGCATGGAACTTGGTCTGTCACTTTAATGCTCTGAAGTTCACATTTACCTGAATAATGTTTAATATTTCAGTATATACCTCGCAGAATATGTATTATGCCCTCAATGAAATGGCCCAGCTGGTTAATATTGTATGATTTGTTGTGTGAATATCGCATTGTGTTCTGGGAATCAACCTAAACGCAGTTTCGAAGTGCAGAACTCGGACAGGCTTTCTCATCTGTAATTATTTGATCCAGAATGTATTCGCTTGTCTCCCTGCCTTGCAGGGTGTAGTTTGAAACACAATCTGCGTCACTTTCTCATGCTGTCCCCCTCCCAGCCATGAACACCCTTCACTGTTTCCAACGGACATAACTTGAGCCGGTTCTTTCCAGTTATATGAGTTGTATTACAATGTGATAGTATACTTCAAGGAGAACTCCGTTTCTCTGTATAGACTTAATAAGGATTTCGTCTTGCGTTTCTTTTATTTTAAAATTTTCGGTGCGTATTTCTGCAAACTGTTTATGCATTCATCACGTCTGGTGCTTCCGTTTGCTCTACTCCATGTTCTCTGCAATAAGCACTTTACTGCGTGAATTTTCATCTCAGATGTCAACAACAATGTCCAATGCTGTAGTAAGATTACTTCTTGGTCGCACCATAGCTCAGGCGGTTAGTCGCCGATTTCCCAACGCGACGACCTGGGTTCAACCAGCTCATGTGGGATTTGTGGTGGGCAAAGTGACACTTGGTGGCAGGTTTTTGTCTGAGTACTTCGGTTTCCTCTGCCATTTCTCATTCCACCGACTGCTCCACATTCATCATCTAAAATCCGGGGCTGGTACAGTAAGCCAATTAGTGGTCGACGTATTAAGTGGACTTAGTCTCAGCCTGTCAAATATATTTGGGGGGGGGGGTACTTTTTTGTATGGCCGTTCCTTCGCTTTCGTTCTTATAAAGGGCGTTGAAGAGAAGGCGAAACTTAAAGAATTGAACATCCAAATAGAATTTTAAGTTTCATCTCCTGTTTCACAGAAAGCAAAACACAAAGTTTATATTTGAGATGTCCCTGCATGATATGCTTGTGTGCGAGTTTCATGATCCTAACTGTACTTACAGGACTATTTCTGGAGAGGAGTTCTAAAGGACTTGAAGCTGTCGATTCATGCTGTAGTAGAGGCTGGCTGCCCTCTGCTGACCGACGTTTTGCTGTGCTATGGCTTCAATTGTAATGAAATGAGCAAGGAAGGCGATAGCCCTCTGCACTACGCTGCCAGAAATGGCAACGTGGAGGTCGGCATGACACTACTTGGAGCTGGAGCTTGCGTCAACTTACAGAATGCATCAAACGAGACTCCTCTGCTCGTTGCCTTGAAACACGGGAACACTGAATTCGGTTTAGCGCTTTTAAGGGAAAAGGTACACGTTGATCTTGCTGATGACAATGCAATTACGCCTTTACATTTTGCAGCTCTAATAGGAGGCACCGAAATTGTGAACGAACTGATCGAGTGCGAAGCAGAGGTCAACGCTGGTGATGGTGATGGCGACACTCCCTTGCATAACGCGGCTATTGAAGGTAATGTACTGGTTGGGGAGAGACTTGCGGCCGCAGGTGCAGACGTTGCAGTTGTGAACAATGAGGGTTCGACTCCTCTGCACTTGGCTGCCTGGCAGGGTAACATTACCTTCTGTTTCTTCTTAATTAACCAAGGCGTTCCTGTTGATCCTATGAATTCACAGAACGTAACCCCGTTACATCTGGCTGCAATGGAGAATGAAGGTGATATTGTGCAGTTACTCATTACTGGAGGCGCGAGAGTTAACTGTCTGGATGAGAAAACAGACTCGCCGCTCCACTACGCAGCAAAATTCGGTAACGTCCCCATGATGAAAACTCTTTTACGTGCTGGAGCGAATGTTTCGGCGGTAAATGCTCGGAGGAGGACACCGTTACACCTCGCAGCTGCTAAAGGACACACGGAGGCATGTTCACTTCTTATAAGCGCAAAATCAGACGTGAATGCTTCAGACGAAAGGGACAGAACCCCTCTGCACATGGTCGCGATGTATGGAGGCAGCATTTCCGTAGCGGAAGTTCTCGTTAAGAAGGGTGCCAACATGACTGCTGTGGACAGAAATGGCTTGACACCCTTCGATTTGGGGTATACTTTAAAAAACGTGGAATTTGCCGCGTGGCTGGAAGAAGAGATTTTTGCGCGTGATGGACGGAAAGAAAAGCACTCACGGAGAAAGAAGGGTGGCCGATGGAAGAAGTAAATATCTTCAGTGCGACATTCCCTCGGATATGCCAGGAATATAAAGAGTGTTGACAGCTTAACTCGCTAGTTTGTTTCATCATCCGTTGCTCTCACCACGATATATTTGTTATGTTTCTGTATCAACTGACAGCCACTAATTCTGATGACTAATTTAAAACCAATGCACAGTAGTATAAATATTTCTTTCATTTGCTATGGATTTTATTTTGCTTGTACCGATCACGAATTTAAGATAATTTAAAACATGTCTTCGTCTGTATAAGACATTCTCTTTCAAGGTATTTACATGAGTTACATCTAAGTGTTTTCTCGTGTTCATAACTACAGCATCAAGTTATGTAAACGTAACCCAAACTCTGTAATATCTTATACAATTTCCCATCTCCAAAATGTAGGAACTTACTTTTACAGTATCATACTAAGAACTTCATGTTCGTATATTTTTAGTTCATTCGCTTCAGGATGTATTTTCAAGGCTGGATTGTTACTTTATAACTCACTGTTATATATATATATTTTTTTAATTTTGCCATATTGTGGAATGTTGACGGACGCTGTAGTGGTGTATTTCGATAGGACTGAATCGTGTTTGCGTAATTTTATATTGAAAATTGTTGTACATTTTACATCGACCGATAGAATTAGCCTTTACTTTTCCTGTTAAAAATTTTTCAGCGTCTTACATTTACATATTTCCATAGTCTTGCGGAGAAGAGTGTTCAGTAATTTAACATCACTTTTCAAGAGAGAAAGAAACAACTTCAGACTTCTATTGAACAGTAAAATTAACCCAGTTTTTCTTTGTCACTGGCTAGAAAGTGTTACACTGATAATTCTGTATGCTCTTGGATCTTTTCGGTAAGGATGTCTCGATGTGCTTGTCTCACTTCGACCAAGAAGTTTTTGTCTCACCCCTCCCAATTAACGTTTTGTAGATACTCGTAGATCATGAGGATACGTAGTTCTGAACATGTAATAAGGAACAAAAGCAGCCAAACCACAAATGCATGTATGATGTGCACGTATATATATATCATGTGATTTTACTATGACTGTTTCAGCCAATATTTGTATAAGTTGGTAAGATAATTTTTCAGCGGTTTAATATTGTGTTCTTAAGCGCAGCAGAAAGATTTTAAAATTGATAAAAATATAACTTTTTAATAAATGTCATTTTAATTGTGTTCGCTGTACGTTTTATTCAAAGCTACGAGATCGCCGTAGAGTTGAAATAATAACTAAGAAAGCTAAAGCTATCCCTGTAACAGGCTGTGGAGGCCCACAGGCGTCGAGGCTCCCACATTTTCTAGAAAATCGACTCACAGATGGCGGTGAGGTTGTCAGCTTTTTACACCCAGGAGGTTCGTGGTACTTATTTCTGTTAGAGGCTGAGTCGACCCCAGGGCCATAGTGCGGCTGGAATGTTTATGTCGATTGAAAAATCCCATGACCTCATCGGAAATTGAAACCGCGACCTTCCGGTTTGTAGCACAGTGCCTCAAGCAACTACGCTACCGCTGGTGGAGAAGTGGGTGCTGAAGAGAATACTGTGCGCACGAGAGGAGTGGCAGGAGAATGGAGAAGACAGTATGTTGAGGAGCTTCTCTAAATTGTGCTCTTGAGAGATATTATATTGTGGCGTCCTGGGATATGGCACCGTGAAGATGGGGCCGTATACTCCTCTCAATTATTTCTACCCATTTAAGGGAAGGGGGAGAAGGGGAGCAGCCTTGCTACCTTAAATATGGGATACTGTTAGGATGATGGCATTGGGGCGCAGAATGTATCATCGCTGGTAGAAATGCTAAATGCTTGCAGAATTTTGGCCACAAACCCCGAAGGGAGGAGACTTGGGTAAAGGTAAAGTCCTTGTGCTTCACTGATTAAGAACTACCCCATGAAGATGTATGGGGGAGTGGATGTATAGATCCATGTATCCTTGACCTCGGCACTAGTTGGAGGTAAGTGGTCAGCTTCACGCCGCCGTCGCTTTAACCGCAGGGATAGAGCCCCAGGTGGTCATTGGTACTGCGGCCACTGTTGTACTGGCCCCAGATGACAGATGATGAGTGTGGAGCAGTCGGTGGAATGAGAATTGTCAGGGGAAACCTGCCGCAGTGCCACTATGTCCGCCACAAATCCCACATGACTAGACCCGGGCCCGAACGCGGACCACCGCCTGAGGTATGTCGCGGCCTATGTGACGCACATTCTGGACAAGATGTTGCAGCTGATGCTATGTGCCGCAGTGCGTTTAAAGTTACGATAACTTGCGGCAAGCTTAATCTGCTCACTTCGTCTTCTGAAATTTGAAGAGAGCAAGAGAGAAATTTATCGTTGAAAACTCGACACGTCTAGCAAAGTAGAAGGTCCCGGCTTCATGACATTGCCGACGCTTTTGAGAAGAGAGAGTACAGGGTATAGCAGTGATGTTGTGCATAGTGTTTATATTGACGCAGCTCATTTTGGATAACAAGTGAGGTTGAACTAGTAACATGAAGGGATTATGAAGTTATGCCAAGTGGAGTAAGTGAGAGAAGAATATAGACAATTACATATGAAATATTCTTAGGGTGATAACAAGGAGGTAAGTCGGGCGGGAATTCTACCAAAGAATACATGAAGGAAAGTGGACAGTTGGAGCATCCAGGCGTAGATGGGAGAGTAATATTGAATTGGATGTTGAAAATAGTGTATGAATTTGAGTAATGGGTTAGACGGGCTTAGGACACGGTCGAGAGGAATGTATTGAGAACTCAGTAATGAATATTGGAGTTCCATGCGTAATATACTGCCCACGTGAGTGATTGTCGAGTTGTAAAAGAATCGGCTTATTCACATTAATTATCTAGATCATTAATACATTTTCATTCATAAATGACCCAACAGTCCTTAGATGTGTCCTGGCTTCTCCTGCAGTTTAGTATTCTCTTTTACATAGACGGTAGGACTCCTTGGACGAGTGATCGGCCCTTCGCAAGGCCGCTACATAGACACAGGATAAACGCGCAGACAAACATCGATGCCTTTGAGTAGGATTCGAACCCACGATTTCGGCGTTCGAGCGAGCGAAGACGGTTGAAGTCTCAGACCGTGCTGCTCCCAGTTGCAGAACTGCTTCAGCGCAACAGTCGCCTGGTTTGAATAGAATGTTGACGCTACATAAATGCCTTATCACTGCCTCATGAGGTGCGCGATAACCCTGCATATTCTCTCATTCTCCGTCTGTAATTGGCAGCTTTGTCTCCGTGACACACAACTTGGATAGTCCCACAGTAAGGAAGTTACGTTTAATAAATTAGGAAACAAAAGTTACACGAAATCTGTGTTGCTCCCACAATGCAGTGCAATTATGTGGGGACTATGGACCATAAAATAGCATTTAGCGTCCAGACCATCTGCTTACGTGTGCAGAGAACCAAGAAGTGTTTGGAGGCGATTATTTACACCGGACACGTCACAGCACAACTACGCATACTCGGTCTTTAATCAGTTTACCCTGGAGCCGAGGTGAAGGACCTACAAGTATGTACTGCGTTGTGGCGATTACTGTAATATTTGCTGACTTCATTTAGCTGATAGCGGAAGCCACTATCAGTAGAACTCGCCATTCTGAGCCGGTTCCATCATCAGACAATATTCTGGGATATAACGCTGCGTAGTCCGTTGAAAGTCAACAGATGTTTCGGAGGGACATATCGCCTTCATCTTCACGGTATAGTAAACCAAGATACCAACGTGAAAGCAGGTGGCATACAATAGTAAGTGATTTACATCCACTTTCACGCTGTTTTATTGCTCGGCATATTTATCGACCTTGAAGATGGAGGTGTTATGTTCCTCCGAAACGTCTTCTGGCTTTCAACGGAGTACACGAAGTTACATCCCAGAAGACAGGACTCTTCAAATTCATGTAAAGTTTTAGACCAATCGGATTTTAGTCCTTAATTCATCCCTTCTCTCAGAATTTCCATAGCAAGGCGCAGTCCACAAAAGGACTGTATTGCCTCCTTAAGTGAGTGGGGGGAGAGTGAGCCCTTGCTTTGAACCAGAGTGTCATATCAACGGTCTCGCTCCCCCACTCCCACCCCAGACCCTCCTTTTAATGGCGAGACTTATATTGAAGCTCAAACAGCAACTTCTTGTTTCAGTTTAATATGTCTTACAGGTTGAGATGGAAAATATTTGGGTCGCGATATTTCTTAAGGAAGGCTGGGAAGTGTCTGCGCTTCTCGTGGTCTTGCGTCTTCAGCGTAGGATATGAAACGTAAAGTTGTCCCTGTCCTTGATTAAATAAACAATATGCCATGAAGACGTACGATGGAGTGGAAATATAGGTCCAGGTTTTCATGACCTAGGCACTAATTGGAGGTGAGTGGTCAGCTTCACGCTCCTGCGGCTTTATCCCCGAGAAAGAGTTCCCGGTGGATAGGAGGCAGGGTGGGTCCCAGAGACGGTCTGGGCTCTGTGCAGAAAAGAAAAATCTTGTCCCTGCTGGGATTCGAATCCCGACAGTCAAACCCGTAGCCCGTCGCTATACTTACTGAGCCATCCCTACTCGTACGGGAAGGTAGAAGAAGGTAAAGTTGTCCCTGTGCTTAACTAATTAAGCACTACACCATGGAGGCGTATGGGGAGAAGATGTATAGATCCACATTTTCTTGACCTCTTCACTAGTTGGAGGTGAGTGGTCAGCTTCACTCTCCTGCCGCTTTACACCCAGGGAAAGAGCTCTCGGTACCCATTGGATAGGAGACTGGGTGGGTCCCAGAGCCAGGCTTGATGACTTGAAAAAGAGAAAATTCTTGCCCCCATCGGGACTCGAACTCTGACCCCACGGTTGTTCAGCCCGTAGCCAGTCACTGTACCGACTACGCTATCCCTGTTCCTCGAACAGGATGGGATATTGAAGTTTTAAAATTTAGTGTTTTCATATCCTAGTGATGGAGGCAGCAAATGCCTTCGAAACATTGGTAACTTTATACCAGATTACAGGGCGTCATTGAACAACTGGGTGCAAGCAGTGACTCTTCAGACTTAATGTATATTCGGTGGTACTAGAGCCAAGATCGAGGTCTGATCATGTTGTGTCCTTCTGAAGTACAGCATCGAGCTAAATAATGTACAACAATCCGGTTCTTACCTCACAGGAAACACTACATCTCTGTCTCAATATAAATACAAATGTTCACAGGTTGTATTGTGTGTGACAAGCATTTGGAGAACACTGGCTTATGGGGTATGTCGCCGTGTACTCCTTTGAAATTCAACTGACGTTTCGGAGGAACATATCAACTCTATTTTCAGGGTCGAGGAATAAGCCGAGACATTTTACTCCTTCTTCCTATATAATCCGAAATTCCGGTTAGTCGATTTTTCTGCTTGCCACCTGCTTTCACGCGGGTGTCTTTCCCGGCTTATTCTTCGACCCTGATGATGGAGACGGTATGTTCCTCCGAAACGTCGGTTGACTTTCAACGGGCTACATGGCGGTATATCCAAGAAGGCAGTACTCTTCATAACCACCTCTGTGAGAATCTCAAATCCTAAATAAGTTTTTTTTTGTGCAATTGAAGCTTGTTAGTATGGCAGGACGAGAGATCTTTTCGGAGGTACGAAAACATCTATCCTTTTCTTTCTTGAAATTATGCCTCGGGTCACACCAACCTGCCAGTGGTGGGTTCTACCTTCACTGTCGCTCTCTGTTACCCTGGTTTTCCTCCTTTCATACAGTCTGGGAAAGAGAAGGGATTTATTTGTCTCTTAACAGCCTTGAAACGGTAAACAAAGCTGGGTTTGTGAAGTAACCTCGGGGTTGTTCTGTTGCGGACAAGAGCACTACGATCATTTGTGTTAGAGCCAGTGTATGCACTTGTTACTGTGCGCCTTTCGGACCTCTGCGGACTCCTTCGCTACAGGTACAATACTGAAGTGCACTTAACGTGTTTCTTTACGAACTGGTGACATGTTAATGTAGGAATATTGTAGTTAAAATTATATTTACGTACAATAGTGTACAAAATTTTGCCTGTTCTTCTGTATGTGTGTGAAACTTGGTCTCTGACATTAAGAGAGGAACATAGACTGAGGGTGTTTGAGAACAGGGTGTTGAGGAGAATATTTGGACCAAAGAGAGATGAAGTCACAGGAAGTTGGAGAAAACTGCATAATGAGGAGCTTCATAACTTGTACTCTTCTCCAGATATAATTAGATTGATCAAGTCAAGGAGGATGAGGTGGGCAGGTCATGTAGCACGAAAAGGGGAGACGAGGAATGCGTATAGGATATTGGTGGGAAAGCCAGAAGGAAAGAGACCACAGGGAAGACCAAGGCGTAGGTGGGTGAACAATATTAGAATGGATCTTAAGAGAGATAGGATGGGATGGTATGGATTGGATAGATCTGGCTCAGGATAGGGACCAATGGAGGGCTCTTGTGAACACGGTAATGAACCTTCGGGTTCCATAAAATGCTAGGAAATTCTTGAGTAGCTGCAGAATTGGCGGCTCCTTCAGAAGGGCTCAGCTCCATGAGTAAGTAAGTAAGTGTACAAAAATGCCGATCACAGTGGCCGCACCGTCTAAGGCATAAACTGTCTTTGCCCTATCGAGCATTGAGATCGTGTATTCGAATCCCGCTCGAGGCATGGATATCTGTGTGCGTTTTTCTTTGTGTTGTTCTGTGTGTGTACGTAGCCTTGCGAAGGAATGATCCTCCGCCTAAGGAGTCATAACGAACAGTGTATGCGAAAAAGTGGCCAATGTCCACAAGGGCTGTAGAGCCATAGATAGATAGACTACGAAAATTACTAATATTCGAGAAGAACAGTTGGCTAGTAGATGACTTGTAAGAGTTCAGGTTCTCGAACCGGCGGTTATGAAGATTTCTGTCTTCAGTGATATAACACCATGTAGTCCACTGAAAGTCAACGGACGTTTCGGAGGAGCATGTCACCACCATCAACAAATTGGAACAATAAGCCAAGAAGGCTACCTATGTGAAGCCCTGCTTGCTGCCTGCTTAACGCTCATTTCTTACTTGGTTTATTTTTCGACCCTGATGATGGAGGCGATATATTCCTCCGATACGCCGGTAACTTTAACGGACTACACGGTGTTATATCCCTAAAGACAGAACTCTTCACTTATTATTATAAAAGACCTGAAAGGGATTTCATGTAAGAGAAAGGTTTAGAATGAACCCTGTAGATGAATATATCAACTAAATTTATTTTCTTTATTTGTATTATGAAAACTGGCAACATTGACATCACGGCGACCAGATAAAGGCATTTGTGAATTGGAAATTGAGTTGCGTTAACAGGGCTGCAACAAGGTAAACAGACTACAATTCGTATTATGGAAATATGCTTCTATTATGTTAAAATCTACACGGACAATGTGCCTTACGCTTTAGAAACCTGAATATGACCATCAGACATTAATATTGACTCTCTGATTATAATATTAACATAGGATGTTTGAATATATTGGTATAGAATATTTTACTCAACTTGTTTAAACCTACGTCACTTCGTAATATAATCATTTTGAGTTAAAATCAATTCGAAGCTTTCGTTCTAAAATAAACTCTAGGCTGTACATTCAGTACATACGGTACATCAGTAACTGTAGAATCAGTGGTGACCAGCGGGTGGCTTGTATTGAACTGTGCAGTACAGGCCTGTATATTGTTACCTCTTGTGAAGCCCACAGAATGTTTCACCTACCTGTTTATAACCATTTCGTGTCGAGGCCATTTTGAAATTTGCTTACAAACACGAAACTACCTGAAGGGCATTTTGAAATGGAGATAGCATGTTACCCTGAAGCGTTGGTAAACAAATAACCTGACTACACGGTGTCATAACCAAGGAGACCACAGTATAAACATGGTACATGTACTCGTGATGACACTTCTATACAGAGTGAGAAGTGAATGGTAGTGAGAGAGCCAGTAGAGGGAGAGTTACCTTTCCTCCCCTAAGTGGGGGCCCCATTTCAAAACACGCATAACTTGGAAAGAACCAAAATATGGTCATGGATACTACTGACGGGGCTCGAAACTAAGAAAGACTGCGTAAGATTTGATATTTTTCACGGCGGTGACTATGAAGAATGTCGTCTTCTGGGATGTGGCGCCGTTTAGATCTTGTATGAACCGACCTTTCGGACTGAGTCTGCAGCCACCTGCTCAGTCTGGTTCCTCGGTCGCGGATTTTTCTACCGTAAAGATTGAGGCGATACGTTCCACCGAAACGTCGGTTCATACAAGATCTACATTGCGCCACATCCCAGGAGACTGCATGCTTCAAGAAAGACTGTGCTGGCGAGAACCAGCAGCAATTTACTGGACTGGAGTCTTCTGTATTTGGTTAAATTACATTTTTATCTTTTATTTGGTGCAAGATCAGGAAATGAACACATAATGAAGAAGACGAGGCTGTCTCGAAGGATCTGAAGTTGTGTAGCCTGATAGAAGTTTACCGACGTTTCGGAGAAACTGACGTCAGTACTCGAGGAACAGCACCAGTGTACCTTATCGACATGACGTCATGTCATTAACTAGAGAAGATGTGATAAGACGCAGACACATGCTACTTCGGTGTGAGGACTCGAGTCTGAATCACGAATGAAGCTTGTCTTGATGCTTGTCTTGACGCAGTTAGTGTGCGGCCGCACTAAGATGTTACATGTTTTTTCTTTAAACACATGCACACCGTTGCACTAAGGTTATTCAAATAGGTTCCCTCAATACACTCTATGCTGTGACGCAAATCAGGTCTTCGAGACCTTTCGGAGCGTCAATGAGTCTACACAAAAATGTTCACGTCATGGATAATCGGTGTGTTATATTAAGTTTATTAAATCAGGTAATAAGCTATTTGTACACTAACTATCTACGAGTAAATAACTTCTGGGAGCTGAGCCCTTCTTCAAAAGCCGCCAGTTGTGCAGCTACTCAAGAACTTCCCAGCATTTTACGGAAACCGAAGGTTCATTACCATGTTTACAAGAATCCTCCACTGGTCCCTATCCTGAACCAGATAAATCCAATCCATCCCATCCCATCCTATCTCTCTAAGATCCATTTTAATACTGTCCACCGAACTATATCGTGGTCCTCCTAGTGGTCTCTTTCCTTCTGGCTTTACTTTTCCGCAGTCCTTCCTGCAAATACCGGAATATTATTTGTAGGCCACGACCACTTCGTTCAACATTATTTCATTATTTACTAATCGACACAGTGTAGTCTTGAGATGTTTACAGATTCGTTAAATAAACTGCAAACCTTGAGCGTTGGCCCGTCCAGTCTGCGACACTAGACTCGACTCGACTCGACTTACATTCTGGACACTTTCATCTCGAATCTTATCCGGGTCTCTGTTTTCCTTGACAGATTTTTTGCAAACATTTTCAGCCTTAAAGTGAATTTCAGCATAGTATATTCCTATAAGCCTCACCTTTCTGCCAGAAGCCGACGACTATCGTCTTATCATATTCGACGCTAATTAGGTCTAATCTTCAGATCTTGAATTATTGTCCGTAAAGAACCCAAGGGCCGGTCACGGTAGCCCAGCTGTCTAAGGCATGCACTGTCTTCGCTCGCTCGAAAGCCGGGATCGTGGGTTCGAATCCCACTCAGGGCATGGATGTTTATGTGCGTTTTTCTGTGTTTGTGTACAGGTAGAGGCCTTGCGACGAGCTGATCACCCGCCCAAGGAGTCCTACCGCATGTGTAAGATCTAGAAAAACCGAAGTGAACGGAGTTCATGGAGGTAAGCCTAGGCCCACTGGGGCTGTAGTGCCAAGGGGGGGGGAAGTGAAATTATAGCAGAGCCGTTTGGTTTTCGGAACATAGTGTGGTAATCATTTAGAAGTTGCGGGTTAGGAAAACAGACCTGGATATTAGAGTTTATTTAGTGCACGTCACGAATTAACAACGGATGTAGCTTGCACTTGAATTAGAAAAAGAGTGACATATGTCCGCGGTATTTGTGTCCAATCTACTTTCATTTGTTTTGGCACATTGCGTTCTCATTCTTTGGAACATTCCATTGAATGAAATTTCTTATACGAGCGTTGTTTAATAATCATTAATCACGTCTCATCGGAAGCTGTTTCACTCCGTCCCGCGGTTACGGTTCTATGGAATTGATGTACACGCCACGGAAACTTCTGAAGATATTGGATTTTTTTTTCAAACCATTATTAAGAAATTCTTAAGATGGAATGAATACTTTCTTCTTAATCCGTTCGTGTACGGCGTCAAGATAAAGAAAGTGTTAAATAAAATAGGCCTACCTCCATGAACTTCTCCATTCACTTCGGGTTTTCTAAATCTTACACATGGAGTAGGACTCCTTGGGCGGGTGATCAACTCGTCGCAAGGCCTCTAACTGTACACAAACACAGAAAAACGCGCACACAAACTAAACATCCATGCCCTGAGTGGAATTCGAACCCACGATCCCGGTTTCCAAGCGAGCGAAGACAGTACATGCCTTAGACCGCTCGGCTACCGTGACCGGCCGTGTTACCCTTTACCGATCGAATCTCCCGGACTCCAGTTTCGTGTTAAGGGCATCCCAGGATCGGACTCCAAGCTATACTGACATGACGATTGCGTGGTTTACATCAGTCCTTCCAGACAGATCTTGGGACACTACCACAAATTAGGTTACGGCCACTTCCTACAACATGATTAAAAAAGGTAAAGTTGTTCCTGTGCTTAACTAATTAAGCACCGGGCCATGAGAGCATATGTGGGAGTGGCTGTATAGTTCCACATTTTCTCGACCTCGGCACAAGTTGGAGGTGAGTGGCCAGCTTCACGCTCCGGCTACTTAACCCGTCGGGAAACAGCCACCGGTACCCTTTGGCTAGGAGGTTGAGTGGACGACAAGACCCCACCGGAACTCGAACTCCGACCTGTCGGTTATCAAGCCCATAGCTAGTCGCCATACCGACTGCGCTATCCCGGCTCCTTCCATTCCAATTAATTCTTTAATAAAACATACCTATGTGTTACAAAGTGGCCACTTCGCCATATTGCCTCGTCTCGTTACCTCTGTCAAATGTAGACAACAGGCACTGAAGGCCCATAGGGTTGTAAAACGTTGAGGCTCCTACATTTTCTCTAGACAGTCGGGTCACAGATGGCGGTCAGGTTGTCAGCCTTACGCGCCGGCCGTCCTTTGCCCCCAGGAAGATCCCTGGTACTCATTTCTGTTAGCGGCTGAGTCGACCCCAGGGCCATAGTGCGGTCAGTTGAAAAGTCCAATGACCCTATCGGGATGAGGGATCGAAGGAGGAGGCGGACACTATACTAAAAACGAAAAACTGCCCATAGCGGAAATTTCTTTTGGTTGCGTGAATTTAGCGCAGATATCGGTATAAATCCACCTGAAAGAAGCGGAAACTGTCTAACGCGAAAACAGAAAATAAGCCGAAGACTTTAACGGAAAATACGAGATTTTCTTCCAGTACTATATGAATTATATTTCTATTACCCCGTACTGTACTTCCCTTCTGACTGCACCCTTTTATTTCTGTCGTTCACTCACGGATAGCTCTGTTCTGCAGCTAGCTAAGTGCCGGCGTGGGGACGGAAGGGGGACAGTTGCCCTTGGAAATGAACTAGTGCCGAGGTCAAGAAAATGCGGAACTATACATCCACTCCCCTATACGCCTTCATGGCGTAGTGCTTAATTAGTTAAACACAGGGACACCTTTACCAACTTTTAAAAGTCTCATATTCCGAACGGTTTCCTAGATAGAGCTATTTCACTGTCCAGTAAACTGTACACTGTACAGACAAGCAACACGCCATGTCCTCACACGAGTTGCAAAGTGCTCTGATGTTGACGGTTCAATTTTCGGAAATGTATTATGCGGATAACCTTTCCTCCTGGGACAATTTGTGTAATGTGATTGAAACAATTCAACTCATATGAAGCATATGAAGTAATATAAGTAAGAAAAAGCTTCAATGTAATTTAAAGTAAAAGTAAAGTAAAGTTATCCCTGTAACAGGCCGTGGAAGCCCAGAGGGCTGTGAGAGGTTGAGGGTCCCACATTTTCTAGACAATCGGCTCATAGATGGAGGTAAGGTTGTCAGCCTTACGCGCTCGCCGCCCTTTAGCCCCAGGAATATTCCTGGTACTCATTTCTGTTAGAGGCTGAGTCGACCCCAGGGTCATAGTGCGGCCGGAGGGATTAGGTCAATTGAAAAAATCCAATGACCACATCGGGACTTGAACCCGCGACCTTCCGGCTTGTAGCATAGTGCCCCAACCAACTGCGCTACAGCTTGCCCCCATGTAATTTCACGTACCGCTGTAAAATGGAAAATGGCTACAACAGGAAAGAAAACCGATTCCATGCCGTTCCGTCTTGTACAGGTTTTACTTCATATATTATATTTCAGTATCCTGTTGCACTGGCTAACGATTTAATCTGAATGGGAATTCTTGAATGTGCAACTTCTTGTCATGGTCGCAGGCCCTTGATGTGTTACGTTGTTCCTTTTCGTCTATAAATATTACATGTACAACATGTTTCGACCTTATAATGTGATTCCTGCACTTCATTTATATTTCTAGTTCGTTGTTCTGAAACTTGATTAAAACTTGTTCCATTTATTGTTTAGAACTTATTCTTTTCAGTTGATTCAATTCAACCTCTTTAACTAGAAAAAGCAATACAGAGCAGCATGTACGTAGAAGTACATACCTGTTCATGATCTAATTAAGGTCGAAACATGTCGTACAACTCTCATTTATATAGGACGGAGGGACGGCGGCCGGATTATGAAGCTGCCCACTCACCTCTACCTAGTGCCAATGCTAAGAGTGGTGGAGCTGCACCTCCACTCTCCCATACGTCTTCATGACGTGCGTAATTAAGTACAAGGACAACTTTACCGTTACCAGCAATGTGGATTTAAGCCTGTTTAGTCTGAATGTTTTTTTATAGACTTTCTGCGTCTTTATACTGTCTTTATGTTCTGGTCAGCGTAGCACGTCGGCCATTAATTGACCTATTGTACCAGCCGCGGATGATAGATGGGTATGGGGCATTTGGTAGAATGAGAATTGGCAGGGGAAACCGAAGTACTGGTCCCAGTAGTGTAAGCTATTGACCTCTTCAGCACTGTCGAGACCGGCTACGGGGTTCACGCATTCTCTCCAGTGGACACCGGGAGCTCTTACCCTCGACGTGAAGTGGCAGGGGCATGAAACTGACCACTGAACCTCCACCTAGTGTCGAGGTTAAAAGAGTTCGTGGAGCTGTACCAACAGTACCTCGTTTGTGATGGACATAGTGACGCTGGGGCAGGATTTCTCCTAGTACTTCGGTTTCCCCTGCCAATCTTCATTCCAACAAATTCTCCATCATCATAATCACCCGGGGCAGGTACAATAGGCCCATCAGTGGCCGGCGTGCCGAGTGGAACCAACTGGACTCCACCCCGACTATGCGAATTTAAAAAATGAAAGTACCTCATCATGGTGTGATGCTTCGTTAATCACAGAGACATCTCTATCTGATTCGAATCTCTGCTGTCCTGAAACGTTGCGTATTTCTGCAGTTGGATCTTGTTTTGTGTTACTTAACGACGCTGTGAATATTGAGGCTACACAGCGTCGATGATAAGATGAGTAATTAATGTGGAACAGTTGGTGGAATGAGAATTGGCAGGGGAAATCCAAGTACTCGGAGAAAACCTGCTCAGTGCCACTTTGCCTACCATAAATTTTACTTTCCCTGATGTGGGTTCGAAATTGGGCCTTCCGCTGTGGGAAGCTTACGACTAACCTACTGAGTTATGGTACGGCCATAGAACGTTGGGATAGTACTTTCAAATCCACGACATTACCCCTTTATCTGATCACGACCTTGGGCTGTACGCGTATTGCCATTTACTTTATGTCGACGACCGCCTCTATGGTCTAGTGGTCAGAGTTCCTGACTACAGATCCAAATCTTCCGGGTTCCATTCCAGGCGCTACCAGACTTTCTGAGAAGTAGTGGGTCTAGAATGGGGTCCATTCAGCCTCGTGATGACAATTGAGGAGCTTTTTCAAGGAAATAGCAGCTCCGGTCTAGAAAACTGAGATTAACGGCCATGGGGATCCTTTGCGCTGACCATGCGACGCCTTATATCCGGTAAAGTTTGCATTAACTTCGACGACAAGCGGCGGTCGCTCGGTCGGTATAGTTCGCTTGCAGACTACAGGCCATGGAGTTTACTTTATATTGAACGTAGTCGATAAGCTAAGAACCATTGAGTGAAATGTCTGTTTATGGACGAGCGAGTTTCAGAATGTTACTAGGTTTTCAGTATGTGTATCCTGGTGTGGCCGCCCCTGTTCATGCATTTTGGCTCAAACGGTAAGATATCTGACTTCAAATTGGAAAGTGACCGGTTCGAAACTCGGCCGGTACGGCAACTATTCTGACTAAGGATTTTCTTAGCCTTTCACAATCCCACTAGACAGATGCCGAGATGTATCCCAAATGAAGCCCAGACCGCTCCATTTAACCTTCCATTTCACCTGTTGGCAGAGAAGTTATCCGTCACCAGTATGTAACATTATCCACTGATCGCGTTGCCAATTAAATGAGATTTTGAACAAATTTGTGACCTTATCTGGTTCCTTATTTTCAGAATGGCTGATCAGCAACCCAAGACCGACTTGAAATTACGATTACATGTACTAGAGGCACGAATGGGCGATCTTGTGGCCCGATTTGATGCATCTAATCTGCAGCTCTATCATCTCATTGCGAGGATTGAAAAGCTAGTGCTTCGGTGCAAACAGATTCTGGAAGCTGGAAGGCGTGCTTTTGACGCGGACGTGCAAGATAATGCGAGTTCACATGAGACAGCCAAACCTACACAAGTGTTCGGTGACACTGTGAAGAAGGAAGACAAATCTGTACATGGAGGAATAGCGGAACCGGAATTACAGAAATCGTCACATATTGCGGAACACTCTGTGGGAATATTAGAATCAAGGTTGTCACAGCCTTCACTGGAAGCAATAGAGAATCGACCAAGAGAACGGGAAGATAAAACACAAGACGATGGGCTGTTGGAACATGGACCACTGAACGAGAGGGAAGAATTCGAAGACGAAAATCGCGAACAGGAAGAACTGATGAAGATGGAGAAGCCAGATGAGTCAGGTGAATTGGTTCAAGATTTAGCTGCAAATTCAGAGAACCAGGAACATTTCGGACAAGGAACCACAGAGCTTGGAGAGGATTCTGTCGAACTGGAAGCCGCGAAAGAACCTGGGACAGAGCTTTCTGAAAGAGTAAGGCTAGCAGAGGGGGCTGAAGACAGCAAGAGAGGTGATGAAGAGAAAGGAAATGATTACGAATTAGAAGCAGAGGAATGCAATCAGGAGGGACGGACTGCTGAAGAGATAGGCAAACAGGAAGAGGCGGCACAGAGTGAGGCCGGTAATGAAGGAGAAGGTATAGAGGACGTTGTGGTTTCAAGTAATGCAGAGAATGAGGACCAGGAGGTACGGCATGTCTTTCCGCAACCAACAGACATTCAGGTACATATGGAGGAAGCTCTGCTGGATACGTCGGAACGGCTAGAGAGGCGGTATTCTGAAGAAGCAGACATAAGGGACGACTCACGAAATAAGACAGAGGACTCGGAGGAGAATGAGCATACTTGCGAATTAGACGAGTGTATTGAAGAAGTTAGATTCGATACCTCAGTCAGACCAGATGGACGGATATGTGGAAAAGGAAGGCAAGAGAAGGAAATGGTAAAAAATAAGAAAGAGGGTGGAGAGGAGAACTCCCGTGATTGCAAACCAGATCTCGAAAACCTGGAGGAGTGTACTTCAGATCATTCAAGCAGACATCTCTGTGAAGAGGCAGAAAAACAAAAGGATGTGGCAGAAGATGAGCCACAGGAAGGAGACGAAAAGGGAGAGTACGAAACAGTACGGACGAAAATGGAAGAGTGTACTGAAGAAAGTAGGTTTGGTACTTCAGAAGACGCGGAGAGAAGGAACAGTGCAGAAAGAGTGAAGGGAGCAGAGGTGTTACAATTGAAGACAGAGGCCGAAGAAGAGACAGAACTTGGTTACAAATCACAACCGGCAAAAATTGATGAGGGCACTAAGGAAGTTAATTTGGATACTTCAGAAAAATCCGGGAGCCGGCTTTCCGACGAAACAGGAATGGAACAAGAAGCGCTGGGAAGTAAAATACAGGAAGGAGAAATGAAGCAACCTGGTTCTGAATTAGAGATGTCAGCAGTGAAGGGAAGTTTCATAGCAGTTAATTTGGATACTTCGAAAGATTCGGGGATGCAACTTCCTGAGGAAACTGAGAAGAGAGACGTGACACAAAATGCGATACAAGAGACATTGACATTGATCACAATTAATATAAAAAACAAAATGGATGTTAAGATGCCATATGCATTGAGGAAATCTGTAGGTGACTGCATTACGAAACTGGTCGACGCTTCTGTAACGGAGTTGAAGCAGACAATCCGTGCGCTGGAGGTCAAACTGACAGAACAGAATCATGTAAACTACAGGCTCAAAGACGAAATTCGGCGGTTGTACACAGAACTGACGAAAACAACGAAAAAAAATAGTTCGTTAGTAGAGCAGGTTAAAGCATTTCAAGAGAGAGCTAATTCCGAGGCTTTAATGCAGAAAGTTTATCAGAATTATGCACTGGACTTGGCTGAAAAATGTTACGACGTAAGTGTCAGTGCTGAAAAGGGGCTAGTGGAACGCAGACGTAAGTGTTTGGCTTACAGAAATTTGAGAAACAAGTATGAACTATTGAAATCGAAATATAAGCCCACAGTAAAGCACGGAGGTAAATGTGAGAAGACAAACCTGCTAGACCCCGAGAGCGAGCAGGAGATGGACGAACTGGCTGATGAAGCCATGGGACAGGAAATGGCTTTGGTGTCACAGTGCCAGAAGGAATTGAAGGACAATTTTAAGATAGTATTCCAAACACCGCCAATGGTGCAACAGTTCAAGGTAGAAAAGGTTAAGAACGCTGAGGCGCTCAACAGATGTCGTATGGAGGTTCTGGAGGACATTAAGAAGAGCCCGTTGTCGAGGCTCAAGGCGATGGAAGCAATTCTGACGAAAAAAAAGAGAGAACACGTAAGTACTGTGTATCACTTCTGCACTTAAGGCCTATGTATAATTCTATCTTTCCTTGGTTATCGGCCTACGCTGTTCCAATGTTTCGGCTAAATTTCGGAAAGTGAATTTGTATTATACTCCTTGCATTATTTGTATGGTTTGTTTCCGTAAAATGCCGTTTTGGCGCTGTGCCGTGTGAAGCACCCCCCACCCCCGCCTTTACTTGTACTAATTTGGGTGCTGCGTTCGCTTGTACTTTTGGAAGAAAACCTGTTCACTCTGTGCATAGAGCTGTCACGTGATACATATCTAAAACTGACAGTTCTGTCTTCTGGGACATAACGCCATGTAGTTCGTTCAATCTCAGCAGATGTTTCGGAGGAACATATCGCCTCCATATTCGGAGTCGATGCACGAGGTCTGGTCCCTGCCTCTTTCATGCTGGTTTCTTGTTCGACTTATTCTTCGACTTGAAAATGGAGGTGGTTTGTTGCTTCGAAGTGTCGGTTGAATTTCATCGGACTACACCGTGTTTTATTCCGTAAGACGTAACCTTTCAATAAGGCCTCAACATAGCTCAAGTGGTAGCCCGTAGCCAGTCGCTATACCGACCAAGCTCTACATTTAATTTACTATTAATGACTGCATTTTAGTAACAAGGCTGACTAGAAAGGGATGTCTCTCTGGGTTTGCTTTCGGCGTGCCCGAGCTGAAGAGTTCTGTCCCCGAGATAGCAACAACAATCAAGCCGGCTATACCAAACAACACATTAAGATTATCTTCAGTAATAAAATAAATATAAAACAATATAACCACAGAAAACATAATAAAACAAACAAAAGAAAGGATAACAAACAAACGAGTAGATAAAAAAAACATAAGCTAACCATTATAAACTATATACGTAAACGAAACCATCTCCAAGTAAGGTCCCATTGGATAGGCGCTCCCTGAAATAAAAAATGTTATTATTAATAGCATAACTAAGAGCTTTATTCCTACACTCACTAACACTACTGCAAACAATATTAACATGTATAATCAGAGGATGGCTCAGTCGGTATGGCGACGGGCTGGACGACTGGGATTTCGATTTCTGGTAGGGGCAAGAGATTTTTCTTTACTTCGCAGCGTCCAGACCGGCTCTGAGACCCACCCAGTCTCCGATACAAAGGGTGGAGGGTGCTCTTTTCCCAGGGCTGAAGCTGACCATTCACCTCCATCTAGTGCTGAGGTCAAGAATGGTGGAGCCATTTTTTAGCATAGTGGGGGGTGGAGTCCGGTTGGGTCCACTCGGCACGGTGGCCACTGATTGGCCTATTGTATCTGCCCCGGTCGATTGTGATGATGGAGAATTTGGTGGAATGAAGATTGGCAGGGGAAACCGAAGTACTCGGAGAAAATCCGCCCCAGCGCCACTTTGTCCACCACAAATTCCTCCCACTTGACCAGACCTGGGATTGAACCCGGGCCGCCAGCCACTAACCGCTTGAGCTAGGGAGCGGCTTTTGGCGAGCCATACTTCTCCCCATGCTTTTTATGGCGTGGTGCTTAATTAAACACAGGACAGCTTTACGTTTACCTTTACGGGTATAATCAGATTCTGATTCCAGTGCGCCCTATTCATAGCATTAATGGAAGGCATATTAGTGCTGTTCATATATGTAAGCGTGGCATTCCCCATCACCAAAATAGTCACAGTAACATACTGTGCGCTTGAAAAGGTTCAGGTCGCCCTCTTGTTGAGAATGACAGAGGGGAGCACTGCTGAGCCAACAGTTCTCTTATTTACCCTCAGTCAGTGATAAGACTCTAACGTCCCGTGTAAGATTTCACGCTTTTTTTAAAGCACAGGTTTCGCTTTGCTTTTACAAATGTCGTTGTATACAGAGTGTCCCAGAAGGAAAGGTCAACATTCTTGTAGGTCACAGTATCGGTCATTCTAAGCCAAAAAGTGTATATATACACGTGCGTCCTATTCCGAACGGTTTCCGAGATAGAGCTATTTCACTGTACAGTTCCAAAACTGTTGGTAAGAAAGAGACATTACGTACTGTTTCTAATACCGGTATTTACTGTTCAAGTAACAAAGTTGGCACAGTTAACTTAGTACAATACATTTCCGAAAATTCCACCGTAAGCATCAATGCACTTTGCAATTCGTGTGAGGACATGGCGTGTTGCTCGTCTCTGCAGTGTACAGTGAAATAGCTCTACCTCGGACACCGTTCGGAATAGGACACATGTACTGTACATATACACTGTTTTGTTTAGAATGACCGATACATGGACCTACCAGAATATTGATCTTTCCTCCTGGGACACTCTGTATATGTTTCCCTCTATCAGTAATGTTCCCGTGCAGTCTGCTTGTACGCAAATTTCATGATCGAAACTGTATTTACAGGATTATGTTTGGAAGGGAGTAATAAACAAGCAGAACTTGTCACTTCATGAAACAGTAGGAGGAGACTGCCCTGTCCTGACTAAACTGTTATTGGAATATGGAGCCAGCCCCAACGCAGAAGACAGGAAAGGTAATACTCCTCTTCACTATGCCGCCAGGAACGGCAACGCGGTGGTTGGCAGAGCGCTGGTTGAAGCCGGGGCTCATGTAAACGTGCAAAACTCACGCAAAATGACTCCACTTCACGTGGCGTTGTATCATAAGCACATATATTTCAGTTTGATGCTTCTAAGAAGTCAGACAGACGTGACTCTCTTGGACGATAGTCACAATACCGCTCTACACTTGGCGGCTCTGCTAGGAAGTGCCATTGTTGTGGGTGCATTGATAGAGAAGGGAGCGGATGTCAATGCTGCTGATCTTGACGGCGACACTCCGATCTTCAACGCTGCTATTGGTGGTAATGAGGTAACGGGGAATGTCCTTGCGAGCAAGGGTGCAGACCTTTCAGCTATAAACAATTATGGTTCAACCCCTCTGCATGCAGCTGCCTGGGAAGGTTGTACTTCTTTCTGCATATTTCTTCTTAACCAAGGCGTTCCTGTTGATCCTATGAATTCACAGAACGTAACCCCGTTACATCTGGCTGCAATGGAGAATGAAGGTGATATTGTGCAGTTACTCATTACTGGAGGCGCGAGAGTTAACTGTCTGGATGAGAAAACAGACTCGCCGCTCCACTACGCAGCAAAATTCGGTAACGTCCCCATGATGAAAACTCTTTTACGTGCTGGAGCGAATGTTTCGGCGGTAAATGCTCTAAGGAGGACACCGTTACACCTCGCAGCTGCTAAAGGACACACGGAGGCATGTTCACTTCTTATAAACGCAAAATCAGACGTGAATGCTTCAGACGAAAGGGACAGAACTCCTCTGCACATGGTCGCGATGTATGGAGGCAGCATTTCCGTAGCGGAAGTTCTCGTTAAGAAGGGTGCCAACGTGACTGCTGTGGACAGAAATGGCTTGACACCCTTCGATTTGGGGTATACTTTCAAAAACGTGGAATTTGCCGCGTGGCTGGAAGAAGAGATTTTTGCGCGTGATGGACGGAGAGAGAAGGGCTCAGTCAGAAAGAGGAGCAGGCGTGGCAAGAAATAAACACCTTCAGTGTGCTGTTTTACAATATGCCAAGAAGTTTGAGGGATGTTTTTTATTAGCGTAATTAACTCATGTTTTTAAAAAGAGTATATTCTTTTGACCGTTGCTCTCAGTAGGTGGTATTAAATTAAATAGTGGGGGGGGGCGTCCAGTTGGGTCCACTTGGCAGGCACGTCGGCCACTGATTGGCCTATTGTATCTGGCCCTGGTGATTATGACGGAGAATTTGGTGGAATGAAGATTGGCAGGGGAAACCGAAGTCCTCGGAGAAAACCTGCCCCAGCGCCACTTTGTCCACCACAAATCCCATTTGACCAGATCCGCAGTAGGTGGTACTAGTAATATTTCTATATCAAAGGATAGCGGCGAAGTTTTATGAAAAATTTTAAACAGATGTACAACTGAAAAAATCCTCTGACACCCTACATATTGTACTCCTTGATAAATGTTGGCATATTTTGAATCACGGCCTCATTGGTAACCTACGTACTCCATAGGGTGTTTGAGTTGGGTTTCTTAATTTGTCACGTGGAAACAAACAACATTAAACAATTCCACATAATATTATATCACTATAAATTTATTGTGAAGCCTTCAGTGGAGATAACTAACATGTCTCTCACGTAGAAATTATATTGTCTGACTTTATATCAGATTTATATTTTCATGGTTATGTACTGTTAATGCGGGTGTTTCAAGATGTATTTTGAAGCAAGACTTATACGTTAGAATTAATTGTATCATTTACTCTGGTATATTCTAGAATTTCGCCTGATGGTGCAATATTTTATTTCGATGCCATTTTGTTTTGTTTCCATAATTTTATATTGAAAGATTTCTCTTTGCGCCGCCCAGGAGAGCTATTCATTGCACTTTTCTGTTAAGAGATTTTACACATTTTATATTTCTGCGGTGTTATGAGAAAGAGAGGTAAGTCACTAAGCATCGCTTTTCAGGTGAGAAAAAACAGCTTCACAATACGCAATCCAGTTTTTCTTAGGTCACTGACTGACATAATTCTGTTTGCATTTGCCAGTATCTCTATGCTCTTGTCCCGTTTCCACTTATCAGCTTCTCCCTAACTCCACTGATTCATGTTTGATCAAGAAATCATAAAGATACATGTTTTTCAGTTGATACAGTACATCCTCACTAATTCGGATTTCGTGATAATTCGGGCAACTTTGTTTGCACGTTATGACCTTGATGATCACATTGTCGCGTTTAGCGAGATGCAGGGAGAGAAGAGCAGAAAAGAGAAACAAAACCAAAATAAGTACATTTTTTTAAATGTGGTCTCAGTAGTACTAAGTACGTTTTTAATACTTACGCCATAACTTACATTGTACATTTTGCGACAAGTAAATTTGTTTCATGAGATGTTCAAGTTTCAAAATAAAGTTGTATTACCTGAAAAGACACATAAAGTCCATTTGATAACTTCCCTGGACAAATTCTCTGTGGGCATTTCTATAATTCGGACTTTCACGAATTTGGACAAAGGTTCCCTCCAAATTAGTCCGAATTACTGAGGTCCTACTGTAATGTGAAATAAATGAAGACAAACTGTAAATAGAGAAACCTGTATTATGTATACAAATATGTCATGTAATTTTACTTTTGCTGTTTCAGTGAACAATGAATTCAGATAATAAGTTCAGTCTGTAAGAGGTTTAACGTTACTTTTTCTATATGAATTGTAGAATGAGATCAAAATTGGCATTATGGATAACTTTCTAATAAATGTCATTTGAATTATGTTCATTACACGGGTTTTTCTAACCTATGAGATCGACATTGTCACCCGGTGCATTTTAATATTGAAATGATCATTAAATTTGCTAATACATTGCTTGATTTTCATTTTTAGATTTCAGGAACAGAATTACATTTTTTGTTCTTTATTAAAGATGAAGCTATAATTCCCCATAAAGAAAATGGTTGCCTTGTCCTTGCTTTGGAATCCACCGATATTTTGGTGGAACATGTCGCCTCGAACTTCATGGTCGAAGAATTTGCCCAGCAAGAAACAAGCAATAAAGAGGCTAAAATCCGGAAGATCTACTCTCTAGAGTTGCCACTGTGAGAACCTCAAGTCCCACAATTTTACTATTGTTTATAGTGCTTAATATTTGTCCCTTATACCAATATATATTATTTGTTACAATTTCTGTGTTCAATATATTTGGAAAGCATTTGTTCCTCTGATGCCTACTTAGAAATATGTTCCGGATATGGAAATTTCAGCATTTATCAGTTATCATTGTTGCCAATTTAGCATAACGTTTTTTTTTAATTCCCTTAGTGGGGGGTGGAGTCCAACTGGATCCACACGGCACGGTGGCCACTGATTGGCCTATTGTAGCCTGCCCCGGGTGATTATGATGATGGAGAATTTGGTGGAATGAAGACAGGACCATGACAGGAGAAATCCCGCCCCAGCGCCACTTTGTCCACCACAAATCCCACTTGATCAGACCCGAGTTCGAAACCGGGCCGCCGCTTGAGCTATGGCGCGGCCAGCATGACTGTTACGTATTTTGCTAGTTTCCCTTTTACCCGTTCAACGCCTTCCCATGCGCAGGTGAATAGTCATTTCCTTACTAATACAGAAATCCTACAGTTGGCCCTAGGACCTGTCATGCAGGGACACGAACGTAGCGGAAACTTAAGGTAAATATACATCGCAGATTTACCAATTTCTGTGGCCGCGTAGTCTGAGGCAGGAAACGTCTTCGTCCGCTCAAACACTGGGATCGTGGGTCTGAATCCCACTCAAGGCATGGATATCTGTGTGTAGGCAGCGTCCTTGTGATGGGCTGATCCCCCGTCCAAGGAGTCCTACCGACTGTGTATAGGATTAAGAAACTGCAAAGACTCCCAAGGTCCAACAGAGGGCTGTAGATCAATAGATAGATACACTGAAGATTTATTATCTGGTCACTGACGAAGCAGAGGTCACTTTAAATATACCCGCACACACCATTCAGTGCGTATAGATTTTAATGAATAAAAAGACGTACATATTGTGTATTTCTTTTCATTTATTAAAAAAAACTATACGCACTGAATGAATCAGGAAATGGAAATCAAATACCTAGAAACATCGGCGTGGCGTAATCGGTATAGCGACTGGTTACGGGCTGGCCGACTGAGGGGTTGGAGTTCGAGTATCGGTAGGGTCAATAATTTTCACTTCTCCAAATCGTCCAGACCGGCTCTGGTTACATGAAATATTCTTTAGAGGAGGATGGGTTGGGAAGGTGATGAATGGTAGCAGATGTTGGAACTTCCATGCATAGATGAGAGAATATTATTAAAATGGAGCGTGAGAAGTTGATTCGACTGGCCCAGGATACGGTATAATGGGCGGTCGTGTGATCACAGTAATAAATTTTCGGTTTCCATAAAAACGGTCGATTTAATGACCACGTGAGGACCTATTATGTTGTGGCCGGGTACTCGGCTTAGTTTGCTACGTAAGTGGGTCTGTAGGCTCTAGTGTGAGGCTTCCTCAATAGAAATGAAAAGTTTCAGATCCCCCCCTCCAAAATTATAATATTCACTGTTACCGTCAGAAGTGCGTGAGAGCCTAGACTAGACTCCTTTCATAGGGGCTTGGGCTCTGAGAACCACCACGTGGCTGATCCGACAGTAAGGAAGTTACATAATATTATGTTGCAGCGTCCTGTTGCACTCTGTAGCTCTGACTTTGTGCACCACTCCTTACGTCCGTGTGCAAATGCAGTCAATATTCTTCTTCTCCTTATTGTATCAGTTCGACACAGATGGCAAGAAGTGGAACCCAAAGTAAGGAAGTTACGTTTGATAACAAACAAAAGTTGAAGAGTTCTGTCTTCTGGGTTATAACGCGGTGAAGTCCGTTGAAAGTCAAACGAAGTTTCGGAGGAACATATCGCCTCCATCTTCAGGGTTGAAGAATAAGCCAAGCAAGAAACCAGCGGAAAGAAGGTGACTTTCCGCTGGTTTTTTGCATGGATTATTCTACACGGCGCCATATCCCTGAAGGTAGAACACTCCATAACCACTGATGTGAGACCCTCAAATCCTAAATAAGTACTTTTCTGTTATGTACAATTGTGGCTAGTTAGTATGATAGGACGAGTGATCTTTATGGAGGTCTGGAAATGTTTATTTGTTCTTTCCTGAACTTCGACCTCAGGCCACATTAACCGGCCAGTGGATTGCCGAGCAGTGAGTTGTACATTTAGGGGCTCCCTCTGTTACTGCAGTTTTGCTTATTTAAGTTGTTCCTGTGCTAAATTAGTTAACCACCACGCCATGAGGGCGTATGTGGGAGTGGATGTATAGATCCACGTTTTCTTGACCTCGGCACTAGTTGGTGGTGAGTAGTCAGCTTCTCTCCCTGGCCGCCTTACTCCCAGGGTAAGAGCCCCCAGTATCCATTAGATAGGAGGCTGGGTTGGCCCCAGAACCGGTCTGGACGATGGTGAGAAAATAAGATTCTTTACCTTACCGGGACTCGAACTCTTGACTGTTCGGTCGTCCAGGCCATAGCCAGTCGCCATGCCGACTGAGCTATCCTATCATACAGTTTGGGAAAGAGAAGGGATTTATTTGTCTCTTAGCAGCCTTGAAACGGTAAACAAAGCTGGGTTTGTGAAGTAACCACGGACAAGAGCACTGCGATCATTCGTGTTAGAGCCAGTGTATGCACTTGTTACTGTGCGCCTTTCGGACCTCTGCGGACTCCTTCGCTACAGGTACAATACCGAAGTGCACTTAACGTGTTTCTTTACGAACTGGTGACATGTTAATGTAGGAATGTTGTGGATATAAGGATAACATTCTGAGTTAGATGAATATGAATAAACCGAGGAAAAAATATTTGTTATTATTAAGTTTAAAACTGGTAACAAATTTATATAGTATCGTGATTGGGCATGTGGTTTTCTGAATTCGGAATTTTGTTACGTTAACAGCTCTCTCACAAGGTACAGAAGTCTTAATTTCAAATATAAAATGGTCACCCTACTATAAGGACTCTTCGTGAAACTGTCAAACTTGCGTTACGTATTGGCAGTCTTTGTAGAAACCACCCCATATCAATGTTGATTTTTTGCATATGGATATGTGAAACGTTCCTCTTTGTGACCATCTGATGAATCCGTAACGTCCCATAGAACGTACTAGGCAATCTGTGTTTGTTGACATTATGTAGGAGGCAAACAAATTTCGGAAAGTTGCTTGTGAGTGACGCCTCCCACGACATAACTACGGTATATACTGCATGCAGACAGAATCAGAGGTAACCATCAAATTTGTCTGCATATTTCCCATTCTTCCTGTATTACTGTCGCTTGCATACCCAGTTCAGATTTGCTTACGAATCCATAGGTCTTGAGAGCCGGGATAGCTCAGTCGGTATAGCGACTGGCTACGGGCTGGACGACTGAGGGGTCGGAGTTCGAGACCAGATAATGTCAAGTTTTTTTCTTCACGTCGTCCAAACCAGATCTGGGGTCCAGCGGGGTAAATCGGCCGGGACGTGAAGCTGACCACTCACCTCCAACTAGTGTCACGATCAAGAAAATGTGGATCTATATATATCCATCCCGCCGGTCACGGTAGCTGAGCGGTCTAAGGCATGCACTGTCTTCGCTCGCTCGGAAGCCTGGATCGTGGGTTCGAATCCCACTCAGGGCATGGATGTTTGTGTGCGTTTTTCTGTGTTTGTGTACAGGTAGAGGCCTTGCGACGAGCTGATCACCCGCCCAAGGAGTCCTACCGGATGTGTAAGATCTAGAAAAACCGAAGTGAACGGAATTCATGGAGGTAGGCCTAGGCCCACTGGGGCTGTAGTGCCAAGGAAAAAAAAAATATCCATCCCTTCATTCGCCTTTATGCTGTAGTGCTTAATTAGTTAAGCACAGGGACAACTTTACATTTTACGCATAGGACGTATTATCTGAATGAAATTTAGGGATGTTGACTAGGTTTTACTCCGATGCAATGGTAATCATCCGCCAATGCACGGCATCTTAGCAAAGAAGACCGCAATGTAAACATACAAGGAACTGTGTGTGTGAATACAAATTGTATTTATATTGGACTGAAACGGGCAACTACTTCCTATATTTTGTTTGCATGAGGTTATCAACTTTCATGCATAATTCTTAGACTGTGTCTGTCTGTCCGTCTGTTATCTCGTCTTATTTCGAAGAAACCTATATCCCGGTGCATAGGCTGAAATCACGTGGCTCAAGGGGTAACTTTGTCGTCTGCATTCGGGAAGTTTCTGTTGGAATACAGGAGAGGATGTTGAAGTAGCAGCTTTTTTTCGTGATTTTCCTCAGTTCAGGAGAATGCCGGCATGGTGCTTCTTTAAGGCTAAGGCCTCTTGCTTCCGAATCTTTTCCAATACATTTTTCGGTGATAACTGTTCGACCCTACAAAATCATCTGAGGTCACACCGTCGTTAAATAAACCGCAGATAAATAAATAAATATAATTGGATTGTCCGCAGGACTCCACTTCTGTCCATGGCCATCGAATATAATATATATTTTACATGAAAACAGTTGGACACATATTAATTTGCTACACCTTTTCTTGAAACATCTTAACAAGAGAACAAGATGTATATGCAGAGTTTTGGTAGGAAAGCCAGAAAGAACGAGGTCACCAGGTAGCCCTAGACTTAAATGAGTTTATATTACTAAATTGGATTTTGAAGAAAACAAGTTCTATGAAGAACCGATCTACTTTCGTTTCATACGACTTGGACCGCATAAAGAAGACGCGTCCAACAATTCTCCTATTGTTCCGTGTGTATTTGTTGCCGGGTAAAATTTTTACTGAAACTTATCCGTTGTTTATCAACGGACATCTTGCTCTGGCTCCATTATCCGGGCTTTCAGGCGCCATGTCACAATACATTGGGAGGGTCAAAACTTATGTTTCCTTAATTTTGTTACAATAGAACATGGAAAGTACAAAATTAGACTCAAAATAAATTAGCGACATTCTCGAATAACTAGTCGACTAACTCCATGGAGCCGAGACGTTCATTGCTCAACTGCTCAAGGAATTCCTAGCGTTATACTAAAACATAAGATTCAATACCGTGTTCTTGTCCCTATCCTGTGCCAGATGGATCCAGCCCATACCCTCTGATGTTCAGCCTACATTCCTTAAGAAGGCTCATACACTCAAAACTGGTAAAATCGTCCGTATATCATTATTCGTTTGCGGACTACAGGCCACGGAGTAAGTGTCATTATACGCCAACCATATGCCGTTTAACTGAATAGTTAACTATTCAGCATGGTGTGGGGTCATTCGACCGCCTCTGTGGTCTAGTGGCCAGAGTTCCTGGCTACAGATCCAGAGGTCCCGGGTTCGATTCTCGGCGATACCAGATTTTCTGAGAACTAATGAGTCTGGATCGGTTTATACCCAGCCTCGTAAGGATGATTGAGGAGCTATTTCACGGAAGTAGCGGTTCCGGGTCTAGAAAACCGAGATTAACGGCAGTGGGGAACCGTTACACTGACTACGCGACACCCTCTATCCGCAAAAGTTGGTACTAACTTCGCCGAAAGCGGCGGTCGCTCGGTCGGTATAGTTCGCTTGCGGAATACAGGCCACGGAGTTTTTGTTTGTTTGTTGTGTGGTCATTCTTTGAAGGTTAAGGAATTCATGCTCTCATGGATCTCAATGGTCCATTACCATATTCACAACAGCCATTAATTAGAACCGACAGCAGACCAGATCAGTAGTCATCTTTGTGTCACAGTTCACATGCAATTTGCAATTTTCCCATTTATAGAGAAATTTCCTGCTTTGCAACCAGCTGCGTGTCTGTTAGACGGGGATGGAGGGTCAGTGGGATCAATGCTTCTGCCTGTCACAACAAATTGTTTTAAATTTTACTAGTAGGCGCGTTTCGACTAGTCGGCCATTTCCATTGCTACTTAGGTCGCAAGTCTTGATCACTGTACTTACATGGTCTGCATAGTCCCCTGTCCCTCCCCTACCGATTCTCGCCTCTAATTCTGTGTAGAACTCCGGGAAGCATTATCACGTGTTAAGTGACTGTAACGGGGTTTGGACTGCTATCCATGTTCATTGCACACTTTTCTATTCTTAGTGGGGTGAGACTGAGTTCACTTGCTACTGTGGCCACTACTGGCATATTATACCAGCCCCAGATGATGAGTGTGATTGTGGAGCGATTGGTGGAATGAAAATTGTCAGGGGAAACCGAAGTACTTGGAGAAAGCTTGCCCCAGCGCCACTTCGTCCACCATAAGTCCCACATGACCTGACCCGGTCTCGAAGCCGGCGACTAACCGCCTGACCTATGTCACGGCCGGGAACTGCATGCAATGGTAACGCCTTCGTTTATTCATCCTCTTTTCAGTTCACTAAGGCAAGGACAAAGTAAAGTAAAGTAAAGTAAAGTAAAGTAAAGCAAAGCTATCCCTGTACCAGGCCGTGAAGGCCCATAGGGTTGTGAAACGTTGAGGGTCCCACACTATCTAGACATTCGGCTCAAAGATGACGGTGAGGTTGTCAGCCTTACGCGCCGGCCGCGCTTTACTCCCCAGAAAGTTATTTAATTAATTCCTGGTATTAATTTCTGTTAGAGCCGGTACCGGTAGCCGAGCGGTCTAAGGCATGCACTGTCTTCGCTCGCTCGGAAACCGGGATCGTGGGTTCGAATCCCACTCAGGGCATGGATGTTTATATGCGTTTTTCTGTGTTTGTGTACAGGTAGAGGCCTTGCGACGAGCTGATCACCCGTCCAAGGAGTCCTACCGTATGTCTAAGATCTAGAAAAGCCGATGTGAACGGAGAAGTTCATGGAGGTAGGCCTAGGCCCACTGGGGCTGTAGTGCCAAGGAAAAAAAAAATCTGTTAGAAGCTGAGTAAACCTCAGGGCCTAGTGCGGCTGGAAGGATTAGGTTAACTGAAAAAAATCCAATAACCTCATCGGGACTTGAACCCGCGACCTTCCGGCTTGTAGCATAGCCCCTCAACCAACTACGCTACCGCGTGAAAGTACTTCACATCATTGGAGGTGTAGGATTGTTGAAGGGTTGAAATGAAGGGGGATGCACAAGAGATGGTTGAAAGTCGCCGTGCAAGGGCCGATGTAGGGCTACCCCTTAAGCATTCTTTCATTCATGTATTCTCTGTCTGCTGTGTCTCCACCCGTCATTGCTTAGTAACGGCTCTCACCGCCGTAGATTTCTCTGCGTCCGCTCCCATGCCTTCGCCCTTGGCGTTAACTTGACAACCTCTGACCCGGACTGGCTGCCTGTCGGTCGGCCGGTTAAATTGCTACTGGGCTTCGCCAGCATAGTCATTCCTGACTTCAGTCTCATCGAGATCCACGGCCAAAATTTTTCTTCTCTCATAGACATGTACCAAGTCGGCCAGTCTGTCTTGGTGTCAAGCCCCATCCGGAATTCAAGACCAGATTTTTGTTACTGTCAGGCATTGCCGTTTTGTCGACGTGGGTGCCCTATCTGACGAGAGGACGAGTCTGTCATTTACTGCTGTCAGAATTAATAATACATGTCATCTATAATCGCAATTTTTCTTTTTCCAGGATGACAATCCATACGTAACCCCGACACGGGTCGCATAGAACTGTTTCTGTCGCCTTGGAAACGTGTTTACGCAACCATTCTTTAGCAACGGCCATCTCTTCTGGCTCCGCTATTCCTGTCTTTGAGGCATCATGGCAAAGTATGTTATTTCGATTAATATGTTTTCCGTTTATTGCTAATCCTTCTTTATTAAATGTGCAGTTGTGGATTTATGATTAGGAGGGGAAAATCAAAGAATGCTGGAGACAAAACCCGGTCCATTACCACTTCGTCCACCATTATTTTTATTTTAGTTCCTTGGGTTGAGGTGAGATTGTGTCTACTTGGTACGTGGGTCATTAATTGGCGTATTGTACCAGCCCCGGGTGATAGATGATGGTGAATGTGGAGCTGTCGGTAGAATGAGAATTGGCAGGGTAAAGCGAAGTACTCGGAGAAGACCTGCCCCAGTGCCACTTTGTCCATCACAAAGCACACATTCCCTGACATGGGCTCGAACCTGGGTCACCGCGGTGGGAAACCCGCGAGTAACCGCTTGAGCTGTGGCCCGGCCCTCGTCCACAACTAATCTCATATGAAATCACCCTAGATTGAACTACTCCCATACAAAGACCATGAGATACTAAAGTGGACTCCAGAAGCCGACAAAACAAAAGCGATGTTCCGGTAGTAACACTCCCTGTGAGTTGGTGGAACTACTGTACCTCTTACATACACAGTGATCAGACGTTTTGGAGTGTCACGTCGTTGAAACAGATGTTTCCTGATTCGACTTGCGACAAAAGGAGTGCGTTTCCCTATAATACCGTCATTTTAGTAGAGTGCTGAGCCGATCTCCGTGGCCGCGCGGTCCAAGGCATGAACAGTCTTCGCCTGCTCAAACACTGGGATTGTGGGTTCGAATTCCACTTGAGCCATTAAAGGCTGTGTGCGTTTACTCTCTCTTGTGTTGTTCTTTGTGTAGGTAGCAGCCTTGCGACGGGCTGATCCCCCGACTAAGGAGTCCTACCGACTGTATAGATTAATAAACTGAAAAAGCGGCCATGGCCCACAAGGGCTGTAGAGAGATAAAGAGACAGAGAGACAGATGGATAGATAGAGAGATAGTAAATTGCCGGAGAATACCCACTTATGTGTCCTTGGAGCCCTCTTCATGCTGGGCGTGACTGGAGGAGAATTCCTTAGCCTTTGCAGACTTATGCAGCTACAGGACCTCTAACTGAGCTTCCTTTATATCATTTCCAGTAACTATTGGCCGGCCATTCTGTCATTCGACATTGTGTAACAGTCATTACTGGTAGCGTCGTTAAACAAGTAAATGAACAATTATAGAAGTTGATGACTCGTATGAAATATTTTTCAGAATGGCCGAGGATGACATGGTCCACGAGTTAGAATTTCGGCTTCAGGTGCTTGAATTGCGAATGCACCAAGTGATAAGCCGCGTCGAGCGCTCTAGTCTGGTGCTCATTCACCTCAGACAGCGGATTCAGATGCTAGACTCTGTGTGCAATGAGGTCCTGGGACGGGGAAGTTTTGTTTCGAGCTTGGAAGTGCGAGAGAAGATAACAGTTATAGAAGTGTCCCATGGCGCCTTGGAGGGGCAGAATGAATCTGTAGATGAGATTGCGGAACCTAAACGTCTGGTAGTAAGTGAAGAAATCACAGTCGAATTTGAAAAGCAAGTAAAGCGGGTAGCAAAATACCTGGAGGAAATCTCAGGAGCGTCAGAGCTGTCGGTTCAGTCTTTGCAACAAACAGAAATGGAATCGAGTCTTCCGGAAGATTTAATAGAAGATGACAAATCTGACCATCCATCACCGAGTCTACGATTTTTTGACCAATCTGAAGGCCACACGGTAGAGGATTCTGGACAAGTAACGGCAGGCGAGAAGGCGGATGAGCAGCTTAGAGACGCCAAGGATGTAAGGATGGAACAACAGACGGATGAATGTGGAAAGAAACTGATAGTTTTAATTCAAGAAGTTGAACAGCTTAAAGAGACAGAGGAAACAGACCTGATAAAAGCACACAAGAAACCGAAAGTTGAGAGAAAAATTAGGTTTGAAGATAAAAGAAAATCGGAAGATGTTCAACGAAAAAGCAACGAATTCGAAATTCAGTTTGTGGACATCGCAGGAAGTGACTCAAAAGATTTAGTGGATTTAGATAAAGGCCCCGAAACGGGGACGCCGATTGAAGTGGTGCATGGCATGGACAAAAGGACGCACTGTGCAGAAACTGAGAATCCGCAGCGAGACATTGCTGAGGAATCAAGGACTGTGTCCATGGAAGAAGAAAAAGAACATTGTTACCCATTAGAAACGACGGAGTTGGAGGCAGCGCTTGGGACTCTCGGGGCTACTGGATCAGATCTTTCAAAAGAATTGGTCAGACAGACTTCTGAAGCAGGACGGATCCAAGAGGAGGTGGTACAAAGTAAGGCTGAAGAAGAAGAAGAGCTAAACCATGATTACGAATCAAAAATGGCCAAAACGGTGGGACATTTTGAAGAATCTCAACCGAATACTTCAGACTGGAAGTCTGACGAACTGGACAAAATGCTTTCTGAAGAAGCAGACAATCGAGAAGAGTTAGTGCAAAGCGTCGCAAACGATTCGCTGGAAATGATTACACACGCTATTGAAGTCAGAATGAATGCGAGGATGCCGACTGATCTGAAGAAAGGAGTAGGTGAATATTTCAAGGAAACTATCGAGGTTATCCTAAAACCGTTCAAACTGGACATAAAGTGGCTTGAAAGCGAACTGCAGGCGGTCACTGGTCTCAAGTGTCGGCTCGAAAGTCAAATGCTGCACTTGGACACAGCATTGCGGAAGACACTTATGAAGGAAAAGTCTTTCAGGGAGCGAATTCATGAATTAGAAGAGGATCTCAACGTAACTTTAATGACTCTACAAACGTCAAAGGATTATGCGCAGCAGTTGCTGGGAAAATATGAAGAGGTGACCTTTAACATTGAACGTGAAATGAACAAACACAGAAATTTGTGTCGGTCGTATAAGAATTTGATAAGTGAATATGAAAAATTGAAAGCCAAAAATGAGGGCAAAGCAAAATCTGGAGATGGACGTGAGGTTACAGGCCAGGCAAATGAGGAGCTAGTTGAAGATAGATCTGCTGTTACTGACGTGGAAGAACAGATGTCTCTGTTGGTAAAATCTCAGACGGAGCTGAAGAAGAAAATCATGGTTTACAATGAAGGTCCTCCACTGTTCGGGGATTTGAATGAAGAAATGGTCGAAGGTGCCGAGGTCCTCGACGGTTATCGCAAGTTAATATTGGACACGTTGGAAAGGCAACCACACTTAGAGTGCGAGATGATAGAGGAAACCCTGGCAACAAGGAAGCGTCAGCATGTAAGTACTGCGTCTCGTGCTTCTCCTTGAGCTGGCTCCAGGGAAGGACCCGGAATTAAAAGAACGGTGGGCTCAAGGCAACGTACAGGGCAATTCATAAGCTTCTCCGGAAATGCCGACAATAATTTAGAATCACAAAACCTTGTAGCCATATATTTGGTCTAGAGAATTATTCTAAATTATTTTCGGGTTTTCCGGAAGGACTTATGAAGTACATTGTATCTTGGAGCACCCGCCTGTACTTACCTTTCTAAAGGAAATGTCTTAGAATTTTTTACTAATATGGGATACATTTATATTTAAAAAGACACGAAGAAGAGAACATATTTTAAAGGCATATAATCATAAGTATAAAGAACGTTTTTATTTTATTGTGTAGCAATTTCTCTCACGAACTCAGTAGACAATATAAAGTTATATTAAGAGAATTTCAGGTTTAAACTTTGCTTTAGTGAGTCTTACAGTAGCCGGTTTAGCTTTTGCGTCCCCGTTTCTTGTACCTCCCTGGCGATCTCTTTGCCGTGGTTGACCCCGCGTTGCTGTAACTCTCTCAGACCGAAGACACGGGAAGAAATAGGAAGAGGTTCATCTGTGGAGATGACATAAAAGACAATATTTTTTGTATCTCCCACTTTTCCTTTTCCTTAGGTTTCTCATTTTCCATGTCATAATCCGTCCGCCTCTGCTTCCAGACCTTCTCTCTCTTCCGTATACACACTTTCTTTTTATTTCTCCGTCGTCTTCAGCATTTCCTCTCCCCCATTTTTCTTTTTTTTTGTGTCTTTTAATTTTTCCAATTCCACGCCGTAGCGTAGTTGCTTGAGGCACTATGCTACAAGCCGGAAGGTTGCGGGTTCGATTCCTGATATACAAAAATATACAAGACATGCAGTCTACACAATTATATTCTGTATTTAAAACAAAGAAGTAGATGATAATTAATTGCAATTTAACAGCTACAACTGGGGAATTGTAGTCTGATGATGACCCGGTGTAATGGTCGAAACAGGTTGCGTCTGTAAAAACAAAAATAAAAGCAAATGTCGATCCACTAGTGTCTTCTTTGTTTTAAATACAGAATATTGTTGTGTAGACTGCATAGTCTATATACCTTTGTATGTCTTATTTATGACACACAACAGGATGCACCATACGGCGTTATATGCCAGAATATATAACTCTTCAAGGTGAGTTTTTTCTTTCCCAGTCTTGTTGTATGTACAATGTGATTCTAAATTATTGTCGGGGTTTCCGTGGCCTGTAATTTTCAAACCGGAGAAAACAAAATGAAACTGCTTACGGAAAATGCAAGTGTGCAGCCCTGTACTCGCCGCATTGATGTCTGGCAGCACCCCCACCTTGGGCTTGTATTGTCCTAGAATTTCTTTTCATGCATTTTCCTGCGCGCTGGGTTTGGGCGTGTCGGTCCAATTCCGTGGTCTCCGCGCTCGCCCGATATTACGCCGCTAGAGCTCCTCCTTGTTTACAAGACCTCTGTGACCTCCGTCCATGAACTGAAGCTCAGAACTGTGTCTGCGATCGAAACAGTTAGCCGCAAATACTGGAGAGAATTTGGAGGGAACTGAGTACCGCTTGGACACGTTACGTGCCACGTGGGGTTGTTTAGCATTCCGCAGTCTTGATTCTATAAGCAGTAAAACGTTTTGAATCACGTCTTAAAATACCTTTAGCAGTTTGGTTTCATTCTTTCCAATTTTGAAATTATAGGCCGCGGAACCCCAGACAATAATTTAGAATCATCCCGCATGTTTCTGCATATTTGAAATATTGCAGTCGGGAAGGCTTGTGTGCCAGTTTCAGAATCTAAACTTTATTTGCAGGACTATTTATGGAAGGGCGTTATAAAAGAGCGAAGGCTGACACTGCATAGAGTGGTAGGGACTGACAGCCCTTTACTGACCAGTCTATTGCTGGAATACGGATTCAGCCTAGAGTGGGTAGACATTGACGGTAACACTGCCCTGCATTGTGCCGCCGAACGAGGTAACGTACATGTCGGCAGGGCACTGCTTAAAGCCGGGGCTTTTGTAAACGTCCAGAATTCACTCAAGATGACACCTCTGCATGTGTCGCTGTATTTTGGACACGTTAATTTCAGTTTAATGCTCCTAAGAAACGGGGTAAATGCGAACCTGACAGACTTGTACCTCAACACGCCTTTACATATGGCAACTATGAGTGAAAATTTTGTGGTGGTGAATCAACTGATAGAAAACAAAGTGAATGTAAACGCTGTTGACGCTGATGGTGATACACCCCTTTTTAACGCCGCCATTATAGGAGATAAAGACATGGCGGAAATGCTAATTCAAGCAGGTTCAGACGTTGCAGTCATGAACGGCATGGGTTCGACCCCTTTGCATGTAGCGGCCTGGCAAGGCAAAACTGCTTTCTGCCTTTACTTACTTAGGAGAGGCGTTCATGTCGATCCGATTAATTTTTATAATGTAACTCCGTTACATCTGGCCGCAATGGAAAATCACGTGTACGTAGTGCAGTTACTTATCCACCGAGGCGCGAGAGTTAACTGTCTGGAGGACAGAGTAGACTCTCCTCTCCACTACGCAGCACAGTTTTGTAACGTCCCCATGATGAAAAGTCTCATACGTGCTGGTGCGAATATTTCAGCGATGAATTTTCAAGAGAGGACACCGTTGCACATCGCGGCTGCTAAAGGACACACAGAAACATGCTCAATCCTTCTAGAAGCAGGTTCGGACGTGAATGCTTTAGACGTAAATAAGAGAACTCCCCTGCACATGGTCGCGATGTATGGAGGTAGTATTGCCGTAGCGGAATCTCTCGTTAAGAAGGGTGCCAACATGACTGCTGTGGACAGAAATGGCTTGACACCCTGCAATTTGGGGCATGTGTACAAATATTTTTTATTTTGTAAGTGGTTGGAAAAGAGGATTCTTGTTACTCAGCCACAGAGAGGAAAGGGCGCGCGGAGGAAAAGGAAGAAGCAAACCTCTAAACAAACGATTTCAATGTGACGTTTCGCCCTGTACCATAAGAGGGAAAGGCGCTTCGTTTTGTTATTTTACTGTCTTAACTAACTCGCGTGTTTTAAAATGAGTGTCTCCCTTTGTCCGTTGCTCTCAGTATCAATTGCATTTCGATATGAACTGAGAGGAACCGAACTAAGTTTCATGACAAAGTTTTAGAGAAATCAACAAAAATAGAATTCCATGTCTGACTTCCTACTGCATTGACTTCACTTCTTGCAGATGCTCGTTAAATGTTGGCATATTGCGCAACGCGGCTTCATTTACAGCCACAGCTTACTGAATATTGAGGACATTTACGAGAGTCGGAATTCTTTAGTTTGTCACGTGCAAACAAACAATTTTAAATAATCTGAAATATTATTAAGTCACTCTAAATTTGTAAAGTATTCAGTGAAAGGAACTGTTCTTTTTGATAAATGTTTCTTACGTCTAAAATTTAACGCCTTACTTGTATAGATATCAGAGTTATATTTTCATAATTTATTAATGCGGGTGATTCATGATGTAATTTAAGCTAGGTCTACATGTTAGAATTCGTTGTTAAACGCAGTTTTTATTCTTGTATATTCCAGAATTTTGACTGATGGTAATATATTACGTATAGATACCATTATGATATTCCCTCACGTTTTTACATTAAAACGTTTATTTTTGCATCACACAAGACAGTTACATATTTTTTTATCTGTTAACAGATTTTACACACTTATATAGTTCTGTGACGTAATGGAAGAGAGAGGTAAGTCACTAAGCATCGCTTTTTAGAGAAAAATATAAAACTTCAGTATTTTAATGAACAATGAACTTAACTCGTTTGTTTTAGTATGTCACTGACTAGGAAGTATTGCGCTCCAGTTATATAAATCTCTTTGCACTCAATCCTCTCATTGAGGATAATTTCTCGATGTTCCGGTTTCATTTCGACTTTACTGTTTTTCTTTAATTCCATTGGTTTGATGTTGTATTTACAAAGCCTGACGGCGCATATTATTTAATGGGAAAAACGAAATAAATGAAGCCGAGCTGTAAATAAATTTACATATAGGCTGTTTTAACTGATACTGAATTCAAGCAAGTTGTTTTTAATAGGCATGATATTGTTTTTTTTGGTAAGAATTGTAGAGATACTTTAAATTTGACATAAGGTATATTTTAATATATCATGTCATTTGAATTGTGTTCATTATACGCTTTATTCATACTTGTAACATGCATATTGTTACGCATTTTAAAGTTGGAATATAACTGGCTGAAGCTTACGAAACTATTTATACATTGTTTTGTAGTAATCTTTGATGTTAGATTTAAGGAGAAAACGCGATTCGCTTCCTGTCCTCTGCTGAAGATATCAACTACAGTGAACTGTACTAACCGTCACATTTACCTATTTAGCTCAACATATTACATATTTGTTACAGTACAGATATAGTGGCCTCCGTAGTCTATGGGTAACGTTCCAACCTCATGACTCAAAGTACGCGGGTTCAAACCCGGCGGAGGTCGTGGAGTTTTTAAGGGCGGAAAAATTCGGGGAACTTTAAGCCGTGTGTCCCGTGTCGTAGCTTTACGGCACGTAAAAGAACCTCATGTCTCTAGGAGACCTCTGAGCTAAATTACAGGCCCTTTCCCGCCCAAGTAGTCTCCAGTGTCTCTGGTGGATGGGAGAAGCATCAAGGTACTGGGGGCCGACCTCGTTGGCTCTACGGTGGCTGATGGCACGCACCTTTACCGGTAGGGTATGGCGACAGTAGAAATTAAAAGGGGGAAGCACAATGGACCAATAACTGGTCTAAGTGCATGGGGAAACCTACCCCCTCTCATAATACGAATACAGTAAAGATATTCGTTATGTGTCTCGATTTATTCCACGTTAAACGTACCATCCCGTTAAGCATTGTGCTAGTGTTTCTTTATTTGAAAACGTCGATGTGTCTTTTACCGCTGTTAAGAATTCGCCATGACGGCCCCTATTTTGTGACGTTCTGTGCGTATGTAGTGGGATGCACACCCCTGTCTTACCGTATGCCCCCCCTTCCATCAAAATTCTACATTCGCAGCCCAATTCGCCATTAATAAGTAAGCCACAAAGTGGGCATTACTGTCTGTTAGTAAGATGAAACGTAATGCTAACTTTTATGTAAACGTCGGTTAAGTGTTGACGAGGAAAGGGAGCTTCTGGGAATATTGGACCAAATGGAGAAGGAGTAACAGAACGACGGAAAAAATACCCAGCGAGGTGCTTCATAATTTGTGTTGTTAGCAGATATTGTCAGATTGTGGTGTTCTAGCTAATGACACCGTGAACATCAACCCTGAAAATGTAGGCTGTATGTTACCTCGAAATATTAGTACATATTTTTCAGGCTACACAATGTCACAACCTACACGACCACAACCCAGTATTAACCTCCATGAATACCTCAAATACGGATCATTGTTAGGCAGATGATATGGGCTGAGCATGTAGCACGCATAATAAAGATAATAAATTAATACAGAATTTTTGTTGGGAAGCCTGCAAGGAAGAGACCACTTGGAAGGCCTAGATACGGTGTTGAAGTATATCCTGTAGAAAGTATGTGCGCGTAGAGTCGCGCCATAGCTCAAGCGGTTAGTCGCTGGATTCCCACCGCGGCGGCCCGGGTTCGATCCCGGGTCTGGTCAAGTAGGATTTGTGGTGGACAAAGTGGCGCTGGGGAGGGTTTTCTCCGAGTACTTCGGTTTCCCCTGCCAATCTTCATTGCACCAAATTTTCCATCATAATCACGCGGGGCAGGCTACAATAGGCCAATCAGTGGCCGCCATGCCGAGTGGACCCAGTTGGACTTCACTCCCCACTAAGCGAATTAAAAAAAAAGCATGTGCGCGAGTGTGGGTTGGATTCATGTGGCTAAGAACGAACGGTTGTCACTTGTGAACACGGCAATGAAGCCACGGTTTACATCGGATACCGGGGGATGTTCATCCCTGAGTATAAAGCAACAGAGACATTGAGCCGGCACTTCTACAATCTTTGCAGGTTAGGAATATGTGGAGCTCGGCCTCTGCTCTCCATTTGTCTCCACGGCGTATTACTTAACGAAGCACGAAGTTTATTCACAGTGCTCGGTTAGAGGTTGCTTAAGCATCCCTGTTTAAAATCATGTTTACAGCTATTACCATTTTTAATTATACACATACCTGTATATGTTCTCCTTTTGATAGAACTATTTCACATAACACACAAAAAAATCTGGTTTGTAGTTCTTCTAGCATGAGATTGTCAGCCGGTGCTACTTAGTTAGTTATTGGAGAGGGTGGGTTTCCCCATGCACTTAGACCAGTATTGGTCCATTGTGCTTCCCTCTATGATATTCTACCAGTCTCTCTACCCTACCGATATTGGTGCGTATAATCAGTCCCGACCGAGCCAGCGAGTTCGGCCTCTACTGGCTT